GCAACTACTCATCTTTTTACTACTACTTTCTACAGAATGTCATACAGTTGTAATCATTTAATATGTAATCTCTGGCAACCAGTAACCTTTTTTTTTTTTTTTAAGATTTATTTATTTGAGAAAGAGAGCATGAACACATGCAAGGGGGCAAGGGGGGAGGGGCGGAGGGAGAGGAAGAGAGAGAATCCCCCGCCACCACCACCAGCCGGCTCCCAGCTGAGCAGAGTCCAACACAGGGCTGCAAGGCTGAATCCCAGAACACTTGACCTGAGCCAAAATCAAGAGGTGGATGCTTAACTGACTGAGCCACCCAGGCACCCCCATCCACTAAACTTTTTAAAAAAATCTTTTAATTAAAAATATAAAGGACAGGGCGCCTGGGTGGCTCAGTTGGTTAAGCGACTGCCTTCGGCTCAGGTCATGATCCTGGAGTCCCGGGATCGAGTCCCACATCGGGCTCCCTGCTCAGCGGGGAGTCTGCTTCTCCCTCTGACCCTCTTCCCTCTCATGCTCTCTATCTCTCGTTCTCTCTCTCTCAAATAGATAAATAAAATCTTAGAAAAAAAAAATATAAAGGACATACAACATATTCATTTCAGATATACAACATAATGATTTGATATTTGTATACATCATGACATGTATACATACAATAAATCTAGTTAACATTTGTTACATAGTTACAAAGAAATGTATTTTCTTGTGATGAGAACAGAACATTTAAGATCTACTTAGTAACTTTCAAATATGCAATAAAGTATTATTAAATAGTGGCCATGCTGTACATCAGTGATCTGTTTACTGTTGCCTTTTTCACAATGTCATATAGTTGGAACCATATAAGTATAACCTTTTCAGACTGGCTACTTTCACTTAGCCATATGTATTTAAGATTCCTCCATGTCTTTCCATAGCTCAATTGAAAGCTCATTTCTTTTTATTGCCGAATAATATTCCACCGTGTTGAGGTACCATAGTTAATCCATCCATTTACTTATTGAAGAGCATCTTGGTTGCTTCTAAGTTTTGGTGGTTATAAGTAAAACTGCTATAAACATTCAGGTTTATACATATAATCCTCTCTGTACAGGTATAGGTGCTATAAATACAGAGGTTTCTGGGTGGACATAAACTTTCACCTCACTTGGGCAAGTATCAAGGCATATGATTGCTAGATCATCTGGTAAGCTATGTCTAGTTTTATAAGACACTGCCAAGCTGTCCCAGGCACCCCTAGAGCCACATAGGTGCCCCTGATCCTCATTTTTTAAATGACCTTTTTTTTGAGTTCTGTCTTTATTTTCAAATCTTCCTTTTCTTATAATTTTTCTGAATTTTTCTAATTCTAATTTACATTTTTCAGCAATTTTCAAACTTTTTGGTTTCAGAATATTTAAAAAATATAGGAGTGACATTTTATATTCTTAAAAATAACTTTAATGTCTTAATTGGAGACCTCTAGAGTCTCATATCTGCTTCTGTATTAAATCTCAAGAAATGTATTGGTTGAAAAATATATATTATATATATTATATATTAATATATATATTAAAGATTTTACTTATTTGTCAGAGAGAGAACCTGATGAGTGGGGAGCAGCAGAGGGAGAGGAATAAGCTGGTTCTCCACTGATCAGGGAGCCCGATGTAGGGCTTGATCCCAGGACCCTGGGATCACAACCTGAGGCGAAGGCAGACGCTTAACCAACTGAGCCACCCAAGCACCCCTGGTTGAAATATATTTTTTAGAAACGGGGCGCCTGGGTGGTTCAGTTGGTTAAGCGACTGCCTTTGGCTCAGGTCATGATCCTGGAGTCCGGGGACAGAGTCCCCGCATTGGGCTCCCAGCTCAGCGGGGAGTCTTCTTCTCCCTCTGACCCTCCTCCCTCTCATGTGTTCTCTCTCTCTCTCATTCTCGCTCTCTCAAATAAATAAAATCTTTAAAAAAATAAAAATAATGCCTCACACAGATAAGAGGTTCAAAAAGAGGGAAGTATTTTAATAGCCTTGCAGAGAATTGTGGATATTCTTCTTTGATATGACATGAAAACTGGACAAATGGTAGTTTCTTAAAGTTTAGTTGTGTGTGGAATCTGAAACTATATCAGCGTACTTTTTGTACTCTGTTGCATTTGAAATCCATTGGTACATCTTGCATTTAAATGGATCTTTTACCCATGCATGATTTTGTGCATCGGTCATTTGAGAGCTATTAATTCACTGAGTTATGTATGTTTTTCAAATGCTGAGAAATGTCATTCTGTATAACATATAAAATAAAAATTTCATTTGTTAATGTCATCAATCTCAGGGCGCCTGGGTGGCTCAGTCAGTTAAGCGTCTGCCTTCAGCTCAGGTCATGATCACAGGTTGTGAGATAGAGCCCCGTTGGCTCTGTGCTCAACTCCGTGCTCAATCTCAGCTTGAGATTTTGTCTCTTTCTCTCTCTCTCCCTCTGCCCCTCCCCTCTGTGTGCATTTTCTCTCTCTAAAATAAGTAAATCTTCAAAAAAATTTCACACAAATGTTTTCCCTCAGGGCATCCACCATACTTCATTATGCAGCAGAAGTACTTCATGAATATTTCTCATTTAGTCACACAAATAAAAAACATGTGCTCAAGGTTCAAAGTTAATAAAGTTAACCATTTTTACTGCTTTTTAAAGGACATTCTTAAGTGAAACTGGCTATTTTTAAAAATTGCAGGTATGTGATGGTAAAGAATACTATGACTGGGTGCCTGGGTGGCTCAGTTGTTAAGCATCTGCCTTCGGTTCTCAGGTTATGATCTCAGGGTCCTGGGATCGAGCCCTATATCGGGCTCCCTGCTCAGCGGGAAGCCTGCTTCTCCCTCTCCCACTCCCCCTGCTTGTGTTCCCTCTCTCGCTGTGTCTCTCTGTTAAATGAATAAAATCTTTAAAAAAAAAAAACAAACACAAAACTCTATGACTATGAGTGTTCCTTGAGTCATCCTAAGGCCCCAGTAGTTTTGTTTTTACACCATAATTGCAACAGTGGAAAAGCTAATATTTTTTTAAAGATTTTATTTATTGGGCGCCTGGGTGGCTCAGTCTTTAAGCATCTATCTTCGGCTCAGGTGATCCCAGAGTCCTGCAATCGAGCCCCATACAGGGCTCCCTGTTCCGTGGGAAACTTGCTTCTCCCTCTCCCACTCCTACTGCTTGTGTTTCCTCTCTCACTGTCTCTCTCTCTGTCAAATAAATAAAATCTTTTTTAAAAGATTTTATTTATTTGAGAGAGAGAATGAGAGAGAGAGAGAGCATGAGAGGGGGGAGGGTCAGAGGGAGAAGCAGACTCCCTGCTGAGAAGGGAGCCTGATGCCGGACTCCATCCTAAGACTCCAGGATCATGACCTGAGCCAAAGGCAGTAGCTTAACCAACTGAGCCACCCAGGTGCCCAGTATTTTAATATTATTTTGAAAGTAATTTTTTAAAAATAGTTTTGATTTTGTGGACCCCTGTACATGTTTCAGGGTCCTTCAGGGGTCGAGGAACCACACTTTGAAAACTGCTACATTTTGTTTGTGTATCTTTTAGCTTGTTTTGAAATATTAAGTTACAATTTTCATTTGTGATATATCTTTCTCGAGTGCTTTCACTCTTTAGGGGTAATACTCTCTTTTTTCTTTTATTAACCTCATATAAAATTGGACTGTAATCCTTTCCTGTGGCTCTTTAAGTGCAGTAAGTTTTCCTGTACCTTTACCTGATAAGGGTGGGCCAGAATAGCTTTTCTAGTTTCAGGGTTTTGGAGCTCCCTCTTCTGTTCACATGAAAAAAAAAAAGAAAAGATACTTGAGGCTTCCTGGTATCTGTCATCTTTGCTTCTCTCCCTACTTGTATCTGGACCTTCTCTTTTTTTTTTTGAACCTGTTGTTTCTGTTCCATTCAATGTGGATTCTCCTCCCAGTAATTTCTCCCTGATGTGGGTCTTATCTTGAAAGCCATCTTCAGTTTATTACTTTTCAGAGTTTATAAGGTCCAGACTGCTCTAGCGCCTTAAACCTTATTTCATTGCAGTTCCTTAGCACTCACCTGCAAATTGGATCTTGCAGAACCTCCTTCCAGTTTTGATCACTATTGTATTTAGCCTACCACACTTGCCAGTGAGTTCCTATTGACAATTTTGAGATTCTCCTCTTTTTAGTGCTATTAGAAGTCTAGTTGACTTTCTTCCATATATATGAGTATATTATATAAATATATATGTATATATATTCTTTAAAACGTACACACAAATGTACTTTTCCCTTACTGTCATGGAGATCTTTCCATATGATCATCTACAAGTCTACCTCATTCTTTTTAATAACTGCATAACAATAATTAACACATATATAGTAATTATCATGTCTAAGTACTGTTATAAGTTTTGTATATATATTCATTTAATCATTACAACATCTTATGAGTTAAATACTGTTATTATCCCCATTTTACAGATAAGGAATCTGAAGTACAGAGAGAGTAAGTGACTTGTAGAAATCCACAGATCTAGCACTTTGTCCATTGTATCCATCTACTGTTATTTAGGACATCAAGTTCTACTCTTCTGCTGATAGACCCTGTGATTATTTTCTTTTTCTTTTTTCTTTCTCTTTTTTTAAACTATCCTAAAGCCTTTCTGCAGTTTATACCCACGTGTATTTATTATATATCCTGGCAAATTTTTTTTAGTATAATCTATAGGGCTAAATCCTAGCATTGGGATTGCTACATTTCTTTTTAAATTTGTTTTGAGAACTTTTGGAGACTTTTATTACATCCTTCAGGGTGAATAGAGAAACACAAGGGTGCTATAAAACCAAGGTTTGGTTTTACTGTATTAGGTGGTATCACTGCTTTTAAAAGGAAAATCTGATCTATGAACCTTGGATGTAGGGCCTTTCACAAATGGATTATGGGAGGAAGGAAGACCTATTTTCACTGACTCTGTTTTTAAGCAGAGTTCATAATATATCTACTGGTGATCTCTTTTCAGAATTGGTGGAGTCTCTTTCATTGCAGGGGTCTTATGCTGGAAAAATTCATTCCATTGGTGATGCCTTCAGAAATTTTAAAAACCTCCGATCCTTAGATTTATCAAGAAATTTGATCACAAGCCTGAAGGTAAGTTCTATATTCTATGACTAGTCAGTTCAGCCCAATTTATTTTGGTGGTGGTGGTAGTGGTGGTGGTGGTGGTGGTGGTGGTGGTGGTGGTGGTAGTAGTAGTAGTAGTAGTAGTAGTAGTAGTAGTAGTAGTAGTTGTTGTTTTAATGGGAAGAAATAAGAGATAATGTCAGCCTGGGGAATATAGGATCTTCCTTTTAAGTGTTTCCAAACTAAATTTTATTATTCGCTGTAAAACTCATTCAGCTTTATTCTCTGTTTGAAATTTTCTGATATAAAATGTTGGGGAAATTTTTTTTGTACTCAGCTAAAATTATATTAAACGATCTAAGGCAACAGGACAAAGTTTTTATGTGTGTAAAAAATTACAAGGAGCACTTGTGAAAGTACATATTCTTAGTTGCTACTCTGAGAGAGATTCTGAGTTAGTCGGTCTGAGTGGGCTCAGGATATAACCAGGGGATTCTGATGATGTTGGTATATAGTAAGAAACATTGGTTTAGATTACTACTGTGGGTTTTTTCAAGGAGGAGGAGGAAATGGTGGCCTTGAACACAAAGAAAAATGTCTAGATGGTAGAGCAGAGGGCAAGACAGGAAGGTGGACAGGAGCAGGCTTGAGCAGTGTGAGGATTAGCAAATACACAAAGAGCTCTACAAACATAAGTGTGTACACACAGAGGTGGAAGTTTTGTTTTCTTTGTGGTAGACCCCCAAACGGTATTTCCTCCACGTGTTCCCATTTTACCCTTATGTGCCTGTCTTGATTAAGCCCTTCTTTGCAAGACTCAAGGTGAAAGACTCACAAATGCTATTCAGGATTAGTTAATGATCTCCTGGATTATGCTGCCAGTTTTGTGCTTTTAAGGGAATACTTGTTCAACAAGACAAGCCAGACCCAAGTCTAAAACAAAGGACCCTAAAAGAGAAGTTCAAGCAAGATTTCCAGCTAGGACTCTAAAAGCAGAAGCTGCAAGTTAAACTAGGTCATTAGACTATTTGGTAGCAGCCATTTATATTTGACCCATCAGTTTCAGAAAGCATTAGTTTACAGTTGCTTAGGTCTCCTCTTTTCAAATGTATGTATGTTTGCTTGCTTGTTAATTTTCAAGTTAAAAAATTGAGCGGACATTGCCATAATTTGTTTATATACTCGCTTTCTTTCTACTTCTGTAAATTGGGCAAAAAACTATTGTGAAGATTAGCATGCGTACACTGGCATATATAGGAAGCACTTAGTAAATGTTTTCTCCATTTTTTTGCATCTATGATTTATCTGCATATGTTCATCTCTAGCAGTTCTGAATCATTTTACTTAATTTTCTCAGGGGATAAATGTTTTGTGATTATTTCTAGTATAACTTTGGGGAATACGTGAATTCATGCCAAGTGGGAAAAGTGAGAGGAAGACAGAAGTCATTTCCTTGACTTTTACACTGAGAGACATTAAAAGATTACTTGAGCTGGGCCATTAGACACATTTAAAGAGAGTCCTAATGGTGTACTGCCCTGAGAGGTGGGGCCAAAGTCCCTGAAGACCATTCCTAACTGCTAACCCTTTCACAATGTAGAAGTTAATGGAATTGAAAAAATCCAGAAAGAAATGAATCAAAGTGTAAACAGGGTTCTCTATTCAGAAATGCTTTGTGTATATCTCTGAGTTTTCTAAATTTTCTGCAACAAGAGAATGGAAATTTTGAATGACAGAAGAATAAAAAAAATTATTTTGTAAATACATGATGGAAAATCATTTTACTGAAATTACCCTCAATGACAAAGTTCCTTCTATAGTAAGCATTTTTACTACGAAAAGGATATGATTGTACATATATGTACATGTTTTGAATTATTGTCCTGAAATTTAATGTTGGACAAAAGCAGCTAACTAGACAAATACGTGAAAATTAAACAATTGTTTTCAATAGTAGATTTCAGCAAAGGAGGCATACTGTGGCTTTTCCTCTCCAGTATCCCAGAGAAACAGAGGGGTGGGGTAATTCTGAAAGGAGAAACAAGGACAAGAATGGTTCCAGACTGTTCCAAGAGGGAAGACTTAGATATGGTGTTGTTTCGTTTTCCCATATACTCAATTTATCCTAAATGTGAGGCATTGAGATAAAAGAACACAAAACATACACACACCTATTTTTTTTTTTTAATTATACCCTTCTTCCTCACAACTCTCTTTTGCCTACCTCCTTTCCTCTTGAAAATTGAGGTGTATCTTGGGTCAGGAGAGTGGATGTGGCAAGGGTGAGAGAAGGGCAAAAGTGACGTGGCCTAGCCACTGGAAGGGTGGGTAATCGGGGAGCAACAGCAGTAGAGAATTGACTGCAGATACTTCCATGTCAGATTTTGTAAGGAGGAAATGTATGATATCTATGGATTATTTAATATATAGGACATCCGGTGCCTATCGGCTGCATTGTTCTTATTCTCAGGCATCTAAGTAAGAGTTTCTTTTTTTTTTTTTTAAGATTTTATTTATTTGACAGAGAGAGACACAGAGAAGGAACACAAGCAGGGGGAGTGGGAGAGGGAGAAGCAGACTCCCCACTGAGCAGGGAGCCTGATGCGGGGCTCGATCCCAGGACCCTGGGATCATGACCTGAGCCGAAGGCAGACGCTTAACAGCTGAGCCACCCAGGTGCCCCTAAGTTAAGAGTTTCAACCCTGCCTTTCTCATGGGTGACTAAGGTAACATGTTTAACGATGGAAGTAATAGATATATTTCCACCTTTATCTGTGAGATTCCTAGTCCTTACCTATGTGCAGTTTCATAATGTGGTCTTTTCCTTGCAGGGCATCCAGTACTTATGTTCACTCCAAGACCTGAATTTATATTATAACAACATTCCTTCATTAGTGGAGGTGTCCCGCCTACAGCCTTTACCCTTCCTCAAAGAACTAGATTTGAGACTCAATCCTGTTGTCAGGAAAGATACAGATTATAGGCTCTTTGCTGTGTACACGCTACAAACTCTGGAGAAACTGGGTGAGACCCTCCTCCCCTGTTCCTTGCCCTAGACTTTACATTAAACGAGCTGCCTCCAAACCTTTGGGTGTTGGCCCACAGTGTGCACTGGCAGGATATATTTGTTTATTAGTCAATATTTATGTAATTCTTTTGTGTTGGCAGGATGTATGACGAGTCCTTTTTTTATTGAATGACAATCTATGATTTTATCAGTTACTTCCAGCTTTAGTTTTCTTCAGTTGATGGTTTCACCACCACTTCCTCACCAACAAAGAGTTTCCAGGTTGAGATTTATTTTTCAAGGTGCCCCAAATTTACAACTATATTAGCAATAGAAAATGAATACAACAACCTTGGTGGCTTAGTTGGCAAGGAACAATAAATATTCCTTCAAATGAGCTAGTCTGTATTTCTTTATAATTTTACTGTTGAGTATACATTTCTTATTGATACAAACTTGGATTTGCCCCTGGGAAAGTTATTGTGGGGAAACTAATTTCTTTCAGAAACAGTGTAACTTTCAGCAGAATACTAGGCCATTTGGATTGTTTGCTGCCTAAACTACTTTCCTGCAGGGGTAGTTACACCTATGTGGTAGTTGTTGCTATGGTATCCCTGTTATCTCCCTGAGTTACTACCTGCTCCAGTGACAACATAATAGCATTAGTTTGTGACCTGTCTCTAACAAAAGAATATGAGACTGATATTTAGTTTTTACTCTGTGAATATGGTTTTCTGACCCACTACTGTTTACTCCAAAAAAGAAACATGCTCAGACCTCGGTTTTTGCCTCCAGATGACCGAGCTGTGCGAGAAAGTGAGAGAAAAGCTGCCAAGCTGCATTTTAGTCAGTTGGGCAACAGTGAAAATTTTCTTTTAGAGGTGGAAAAAAGGTAAGACAATTCTTTACAAAAAAAATTTTTTTTTTAGTTTGGTTCGGACAGAGACAGCAGTGAATTCCTACTTAATGTCTTCATTTTCGGCAGAAATCTCCACAAGTTGTAAGAATCCTCAGATCAGGAATAAAAGTATCTCTTCAACGTACTGAAATTTATCTGGGATGAGAATCTGGCTCTCAGAGGGAACATTTCTGCTTTCTTGATCTCTTGGGTCTGCTTTGGATATAATTATTTTTTTTAAAAAGATTTTATTTATTTATTTGAGAGAGAGAAAGAGAACAAGTTGGGGGGAAGGGCAGAGGGAGAGGGAGAAGCAGACTCCCTGCTGAGCAGGGAGCCCACTGAGATGAGGGGCTGGGATCATGACCTGAGCCTAAGGCAGATGCTTAGCCAGCTGAGCCACCCAGGTGCCCCTGGAAATAATTATTGATAATTCTCTAAAGCTGCTGTTCAAAGCTTATAGGAATACCATGAGATATCATCCCCATAAATGTTTACCAACTCTTTCTTGGTCTTTACCAACTCTTATAAATGAGTACATGGTCTTTTCCTATTGAATTAGAAGGTTTACATTACCAGGAAGATTAATTTGTTAAAAGGTAAGGGAAACATTTTTCTACAAAATCAAAAGTAAACAGACCTTGAGGCTCTGAAGTATCTGAATGGTAGATTTTTCTACTTCTTGTTACTAAAATCTGATCAAAATAAGATACCATATCTTCTACTCCAAAACTCATGCTCATTATTTTTGAAAAACAGAAGTCATTTTACATATTATATAAAATTTACATAATACAGAAAAGTGCAGTGAAAAAGTCAAAATCATCCCATATTCTGTTACCAAGAGTTAGTAATGTTTGGTATACATCCTTCTAGACATCTGTGTACCTACCAATAGACACATGTACATGTGTCTGTTAGTATTGTTTTCTGATGGTATAAGTAATGCATACTTATTGAGAATTTGGAAAGTATAGAAAAACCACAAGAAATAAATAAGCAGGGGCGCCTGGGTGACTCAGTCGTTAGGCGTCTGCCTTTGGCTCAGGTCATGATCCCAGGGTCCTGGGATTGAGCCCGGCATCAGGCTCCCTGCTCGGTGGGAAGCCTGCTTCTCCCTCTCCCACTCCTCCTGCTTGTGTTCCCTCTCTCACTATGTGTCTCTCTGTCAAATAAATAAATAAAATCTTAAAAAAAAAGAGAGAGAAAGAAATAAGCAACTCGTAATTTCACTACCCAGAAGTAAACATTAATTATAGTAAATATTCACTTAGTCTTAGGTATATGTGTGTGTGTTATATACAATATTCTGTGTTGTATAACAGATCTAAAAATATACATTAATAATAAAATAATACATATATAATATTCATTTTATAGTAATTTGCTTCCTATACATACCATTTCTAGTTTAATAAGATATGAATGTATCTCCACAACATTAAATATCCTTCTCCAGAATGAGTTTTTTCTTTATTGCCTTTCCCCTCCATGAGAACTAGGACCTTGCTTGTCTTATTTGTTGCAGTATCCCTAGTGCCTAGAACAGCGTCTGACACATATAAAATACTAAGAAATAATTTGTTGAATGATGAATGAATGAAGTCAATGTCTATTCTCTTGGCCTGGGATCTTTCTCTTTGTCTATTTCTGCTCTGATCCTTTATATGTTTTATAATGTAACCCTCAGCATTTTTAGTTCCCTATACATATTTTTTAGTTCTGTATTTTTTTTAAGATTTTATTTATTTGTCAGAGAGAGAGGGAGAGAGAGCATAAGTAGGGAGAGCAACAGGCAGAAAGAGAAGCAGGCTCCCTGCTGAGCGAAGAGCCTGTTGTGGGACTCCATCCTAGGTTCTGGGATCACGACCTGAGCCAAAGGCAGACGCTTAACCGACTGAACCACCCAGGCAACCCAGTTGTCTATTTTTTTAAGTCAAGTTTCTTGAGGGTTTTACATAAAGTAAAAATCACCCTGCTATAAAAAGAAACGGAATGTTCCTTAAAAATTATTTGTATATTGGGGTGCCTATGTGGCTCAATTAGTTGGGCGACTGCCTTCAGCTCAGGTCATGATCCTTGAGTCCCAGGATCGAGTCCCACATCCGGCTCCCTGCTCAGAGGGGCATCTGCTTCTCCCTCTGACCCTCCCTCCTCTCATGTTCTCTCTCTCTCTCAAATAAGTAAATAAAATCTTTTTAAAAAATTATTTGTATATATATTTTGTGAACTAATTCATAATTTGTTGGGGGTACCTTGTTTGTTACAGGAATACAGAGATGAATTAATGTATAATTGAATACATTCCCTAGTAAGGCAGGTAATTAGCACTCTCGTATTTCCGTTTATCATAGTTACCATGTGATGATTGCAAAAGCAGAGGTAAAATGTTACTCAAGTGCCCAGTCCTAGCATTAATATCTTATAAACTCTCTGACCCTGAGTAAAGATTTTTTTAAGTCTTTCTGAATCTGAGTTCCCCCAACCTATAAAATAGAGATAATGGATAATAGGGGAGCTTTTATAATTAAATGAAATAGTGGGTGTAAAGTGCCTGGCTCATAGTCTAGGCTGTCTGAACTTCCAGTCTGTACTTACTATATTTACATCTTACTATACTATATCAATCAACGGCAAACATTTACCTCTTATCTTTTTTTTTTAAACTAATGGCTGTAGTTGCTCCCAGTACAATTCTTGGCAGCAGAACCTTCCTTTCTGTGTCCTATGAATTTTTTAATTCAAAAGAAAATATCTTATTCCCTTAATCATTTAGACCTAAGTTTGCATCAAGAAAAGAGTAAGTCCTGAATTTTCTGGCTTTCGTACTTTTTTTTTTTTAAGATTTTATTTAGATATTTAGAAAGAGAGAGCACACACATGTGTGAGTAGGGGGAGGGGCAGAGGGAGAGAGAGAATCTCAAGCCGACTCCTGGCTAAGCCCAGAGCCTTATGCAGGGCTCAATCCCATGACCCTGAGATCACGACCTGAGCTGAAATCAAGAGTCAGACGCTCAACCAGCTGAGCCTGGCTTTCTTATTTAAAGGCTGAACTATGGTGTCCTTCTCTCTCACTGTTCCCAGTAACAATATTATGGCTTTAAAAAATGGGTTTAACTGAAATATTTGTGAAATTAATATTTTCTAGAACATTTGAAAAGAAATCTGATTACCATGAATTAATGTTTTCTAAATAGCATTTGCTGGTGATCTCAGAAACCTTTTGAGCTTTTTTTAAATTTGAATTTTAAATAAATTATTCTATGTGGCAGCTCTAGGGAGAAGACAATGAAAAACTGTGTGACAGATGAGAGCTGTGCATCAAAAGTCAGTGCCGATGTTGATCACAGAATTGAAACTGGTAAGCTTTCTCACTTTGATCACAAAATGCTTAAAACATTAGTTATTTCAGCTTTTGTGCCCAATGTTGAGTAGGATGAAGACAAAATAGTTGAGAAATAGCAGATTTGAAGTAAGCACCAGATTTACTGACTGTGTTTTTCCTCTTTTCTCTCACTGCCAGAAAAGGCCCTATTTATTGAGCAGGCCTAAACCCATCAAGTACAGAACCCATCAAGTACAAGCTATACTCAATTCAATTTCATTTACATCAGTTTACATCATTAGTACATTCTGAAAATTGCATTGCCAGTCCCCATGGCCCCTGAGCATTGATTGCTAAGGTGATTGATTCATTAGCCAGAGACTCATGACTCATTTGCATCAATGCAGCTCAGACCCTAAGCCTTCTGGGTTTCTCTACCTTGAACCTTTGCAGCTGCAGAATCTCTTGTGTTTGTGCTATATTCCTGGTGAGTGTTGCCTGGAAGCACTGTCGGTAACCTACTAGGATTAGAAGTGGTTATGCCACATTTAATGATCGTGGCACAGACGAGGAGAAAGCTTTTCATGAGAGAAATTGCATACAGTGGACCCTTATGGATTAACTTGGCACTCATCAGATGACTTTTTACTTGAGGAAACTATTCTATAGAGGCCTCTTTCCCTTTGAAGGATATACCAAATTATTTGCAACCTCTAAAAATTAATCCCTGAAATCCCAGCGATCACTTTAATAGATGGACTATGTAGTTTAGACATTAAGAATTTCCAGTTTATAACATAAAGTATGTTATTTACTACTTATCTATCCATGTAGACACTTATTACAAGTTATTTTTATGTGATTTCATGGTAAAATAAGCCATAGTGAAGTATGACTTATTTTTCTTTCTTGGAAATTTCAGTGCACATATGTCATGGAGCATGGATTGCTTTATTTCATTTTAAATAGCATTTTTTATATTTAAAGTTTGATGAAATTCTGGGGTACCTGGGTGGCTCAATCAGTTAAGTGTCTGACTCTTGATTTCAGCTTGGGTTGTGGTCTTGGGGTCATGGGTTTGAGTCACTCATCGGGCTCTGTGATCAGCAGGGAGTCTGCTTAAGATTCTCTCTCCCCAAGCACCTGGGTGGCTCAGTTGGTTGAGCGTCTGCCTTTGGCTCAGGTCATGATCCCAGGGTCTTGGGATCGAGTCCAGCGTCAGGCTCCCTGCTTGGCGGGGAGTCTGCGTCTCCCTCTCCCTCTGCCTGCCGCTCCCCCTGTTTATGCTCAGTCTCTCTCTCTCTCAAATAAGTAAAATCTTAAAAAAAAAAAATTCTCTCTCCCCCTCTGCCCCTCCCCCAATCGAGCAGTCTCTTAAGTAATTAATTAATTAAAAAATAAATAACACAGCGGGGAGTCTGCTTAGGATTCTCTCAATCTCCCTCTGTCCATCCTCTCCCTGCTCATGTGCTCTGTAAAATAAATAAATCTTTTAAAAAATAAAATTTGATGAAATTCTATTGTGTTTTTTTTAAGATTTTATTTATGTATTAGGGAGTGTGCATGTCAGGGGAGGGACAGAGGGGGATGGAGAAGGAAAGAGAATCTCAAGCAGACTCCTTGCTGAGTGTGGAGCCTGTGCAGGGCTTGATCTCACAACCCTGAGATCATGACCTGAGCAGAAACCAAGAGTCGGCACTTAATCTACTGAGCCACCCAGGCACCCCTGATGAAATTCTATTGTAATAATTTTGGAAAATACTAAAAGACATGAACAGCATTTTAATCACTCATAAACCTGTCCCCTAGAGAGAATCCCAATTAATAATTTGGTATACAGCCTTGTGTTTTTTCTAGGTAAAAACATTTATATATCCATTTCCAGAATGATGAAGATACATTGAAGTATAATTTGCTTCTTTTTGTATGAGCTGAGTTAGACTTCATTTATGTCATATTACATCATTAGCTCACATAAAGGTTCACCCCATAAATTAAAATGTTTTAAAGTGCATAGTCTCAAGGCATCTGGGTAGTTCAGTCAATTAAGCATGTGGGATTCTTGGTTTTGGCTCAGATCCTGATCTCATGGGGCATCGGGCTCGGTTCTCAGCAGGGAGTCTGCTAAAAGATTCTCTCCCTCTGCCCCCACCCCACTCTCCTGTCCACTCTCTGTCTCTCAAATAAATAAATCTTTTTTAAAAAAAGGTGCATAGTCTCTACTGAGAACAAACTACTTTACCAGACACAGGGCGCATTTCTAAAGGTTCTTGGAAGCTCAGCTGTTGCCTGGATTTTTTTTTAAATATTAAATTTATGTTGCAACTTTGAAACGTTAAAGAGCTTTGCTTTCTACTGAAAATTATGTTTGTGCTAGACCCCTGGGGAGTGTTGCCTGTAAGCACTGTTGGTAATCCAATATGACTAAAGTGATTATGCCATGTTAATGGTTGTGCCACAGTCTAGGAGAAAGCTTTCTGGAGAATAGTTCCCACTAGCTCAGTTGTTCCAAACAGTGCTTTTCCACCAATCATTTAGAATGATACCCATTAGCATGGCTACTATCAAAAGCCTAGAAAATAACACATGTTGGCAAGGATGTGGAGAATTGGAACTGCTGGTCCAGTTGTTTGGTGGGAATATAAAATGGTACAGATGCCATGGACAACAGTATGGCAGTTCCTGAAAAAATTAAAAATAAAATTACCGTATGATGCAGTGATTCCACTTTAGGGCCTATTCCCTTTTTTTTTTTTAAGATTTTATTTATTTATTTGACAGAGACATAGCGAGAGAGGGAACACAAGCAGGGGGAATAGGAGAGGGAGAAGTAGTCTTCCCGCGGAGCAGGGAGCCTGATGTGGGGCTCGATCCCAGGACCCTGGGATCATGACCTGAGCTGAAGGCAGACACTTAACGACTGAGCCACCCAGGCGCCCCTATTCCCAAAGAAGTGAAAGCAGGATCTTGAAGAGGTGTTTGTATACCCATGTTCATAGCAGCATTATTCACAATAGCTAAAACATGGAAGTAATCCAAGTGTCCGTCAACAGATGAATGAATAAGCACAATGTGATATACACAAACAATGGAGTATTATTCAGCCTTAAAAAGGAAGGAAATTCTGACATATGCTACAACATGGATGAACCTTAAGGACATTATGCTAAGCAAAGTTAGCCAGTCACAAAAAGACAAGCACTATATGATCCCACTTACATGAGGTACTTAAAGCAAGCAAAATCACAGAGACAGAAAATAGAATGGTGGTTGCCGGGAGCTACAGGGAGGGGGAAGTAGGGAGTTATCATTTAATGGATATAGTTTCAGTTTTATAAGATGAAAGAGTTCTGGAGATGATGATGGCGATGGTTGCACAACATTATGAATGCATTTAATACCACTGAACTGTACACTTAAAAATGGTTAAGATGGTAAATTTTGAGTTATGTGTATTACCCACAACAAAAGTGATTGGGAAAAACCCCAAAACTATGGAGACAGCAAAAAGATCAGTGGTTGCCAGGCTAGAGGGGAAGAAGTGATGACTAGGTAAGGGTGTACCTTCATTCTTTTGCGCGAGGGGTGGGACATGGGTAGCTGTTACTGAACTGCCAAGAGCTAAAATTGACTGAAGTTAACTTCAGTTTAGCTTCCAGGTCTTCCCCTGGAAATTACAAGCCTTCAGTAGACTCCAGAATTCCAAAAATAGTTACATCAGACAGATTCTGCCAGTGTAATTGTTGCCTCGGTGGAGGACAGATGCTGGGGCTGCTTACTCTGCCATCTTCCCCTGTCTCCATGGTTTTGCCTTTTCCAGAATGGCATATAGTTGGAATCATTAAGTATGTAGCCTTTTTAGATTAGCTTCTTTACTTAGTAATATCCATTTAAGGTTCCTTTATGTCTTTTCATGGTTTGATAGCTCCTTTCTTTCTAGTGCTGAATAATATTCTGTTGTCTGGGTGTACCACACTTTATTTATCCATTCACCTACTGAAGGACATCTTGGTTGCTTCTAAGTTTTGGCAATTTTGAAAAAAGCTGCTATAAACATCCATGTGCAGTGTTTGTGTGGACATAAGTTTTCAACTCCTTTGGGCAAATACCAAGTGTTTAATTTTATAAGAAACTGCCAAACTGTCACCCAATACAATCTGCTTTTTAAAATATCTTTTTATATACTGAGCTTCTTAAATTGAAGTTTCTCAAACTGGATTCATATTCTCAGAGTTTGTGAGAGTATTGAGTTTGAGAAACACTGATGTGGATGGGCACATGCTATAGAAGCTCAGACTGTGCTAAGAGCATACCTGAAAAGATTTTGTGGCAGGTGTGGAAACAAAGTCCTCAGCCATTAAAGGCTGTGGAACTCTGGGATAGCCTGAGAGGTTGGTGGGATTGGTGTGAATAGCTGTGTAAAAGTGGTAATGAGTATAGCAGGTCATAGACAGTTGAGTGATCATGTGGTTTGGATAGAAGGTTTATGTTGGGTAGAAGGTCAGATTATTGGAGAACAACGAGTGCCTTACTAAAGATAATTTACAGGCAAATAGCGCATATATACTCTGTGAGTTGAAAGAGGTCCTGCTCACTCTTTTAGCCAGTTCCTTTTACCTTTTAGTAGAATTGCACCTAAAATATATTGATCTAATAGGTATTTTATTTTAAAACAGCAAAGAAAGGCAGCACCTGGCTGGCTCAGTTGGTAAAGCATGTGACTCCTGGTCTCAGGGTTGTGAGTTCAAGCCCCACGTTGGGTATAGAGATTACTTAAAATAAAATCTTTAAAAAAATAAAATAGCAAAGAAAAATTCATCACAATCAACCTTGTACAGGAATGAAAGCAGCATTATCTATAGTAGCCCAAAAGTCCATCAGCTGATGAATGGATAAACAAAATATGGTATATCCATATAAAAAGAATGAAGTACTGATACATCTACAATGTATAGCTTGAAAACATCATGCTTAGTGATAGGTGCCAGACACAAAAAGCCAATATCATGTTATTCCATTTATATGAAATGTCTGGAATAGGAAAGTCCATAGACAGAGAAAGTATATTGATGGTTGCCAGGGGCAGCTTACTTACTATTTTCATTTTCTACTTAGAATCAGGTTAAGACCAGTAATTTCTGCTTTACTTTGTTTTGTTTTGTTTTTTTTTTTCTGTGTTACTAGTGCAATAGGAGCCAAAGAGCATAAACTTTGAGAGCTTAAAAGTAGTTCTATCAAATACAATGGTGAAAGAGCATTTTATATTGAAGTAACAAGAAATTTCAGTCCCAGGAGGCAACTCAGAAGTAGGGAGCATTTTATTTTATTTTTAAAGATTTTATTTATTTATTTGACAGAGAGAGAGATAGCGAGAGCAGGAACACAAGCAGGGGGAGTGGGAGAGGGAGAAGCAGGCTTCCTGCCAAGCAGGGAGCCCGATGTGGGACTCAATCCCAGGACCCTGGGATCATGACCTGAGCCGAAGGCAGACGCTTAACGACTGAGCCACCCAGGCTCCCAAGTAGGGAGCATTTTAGAGCCCCAAATGGACTGAGGGGCTGGATTTCTAAAAACCTGGCTTTATTCACTGTGTATTCTCAGTTGCCTTGGCTTACAGCAGCTTTCTGTTGCCAGAGCCTACAGATGAGAACTAGCAGAAGAGCACATTGTTTGACTAAGGCCCAAGTTTTTGAAACTATCTTAATTCTTACATAATCCTGCTAGGGGAACAAACCTCCCTAAACAAGAAACTCTTATTTTCATCCAAGATCCCCCAGAAGACTCCAGGTCCCAGAATTGTACAATTAATAAGTATTGATCAAGAATGTGCAGGGGCACCTGGGTGGCTCAGTCAGTTGAGTGACTGACACTTGGTTTTGGCTCAGGTCATGATTTCGGTCCAGATGGAGCCCCATGTCAGGCTCCATGCTCAGCGTGGAGTCTGCTTGAGATTCTTTCTCCCTCTCCCTCTGTCCCTCCCCCTCCTCACCTGTGCACACTCTCTCTGTCTCTCTAAAATAAATAAATCTTTAAAAAAAATAATATGCAAAAACTTCTCTTTTTTAAAAAGATTTTATTTATTTATTTGACAGGGCGAGAGAGCACAAGCAGGGGGAACGTTAGAGGGAGAGGGAGAAGCAGGCTCCCCACCAAGCAGGGAGCCCCATGTGGGGCTCGATCCCAGGATGCTGGGATCGTGACCTGGGCCGAAGGCAGACGCTTAACCATCTGAGCCACCCAGGCGCCCCCAAAAACTTCTCTATAAGCATTCCAATCTAATAAAAATCCTAACTGGCTCTTTTTGATAACAGTTTCTAGGGTGGCCAGGACTTGGATATGGTTTTGTTTGTTTGTTTGTTTGTTTTAATTTTTTATTGTTATGTTAACCACCATATATTACATCATTTGTTTTGGTGTAGTGTTCCATGATTCATTGTTTGTTCATAACACCCAGTGCTCCATGCAGAATGTGCCCTCTTTAATACCCATCACCAGGCTAACCCATCCCCCTACCCTCCTCCCCTCTAGAACCCTCAGTTTGTTTTTCAGAGTTCATCATCTCTCCTGGTTTGTCTCCCCCTCTGACTTACTCCCCCTCATTCTTCCTCTCCTGCTATCTTCTTCTTTTTCTTTTTTCTTAAAATATGTTGCGTTATTTGTTTCAGAAGTACAGATCTGTGATTTAACAGTCTTGCACAATTCACAGCGCTCACCATAGCACATACCCTCCCCAATGTCTATCACCCAGCCACCCCATCCCTCCCACCCCGTTTGTTTGTTTTTAAGATTTTATTTTTAAATCTCTATACCCAGTGTGGGGCTCGAACTCACAACCCAAGATCAAGAGTTGCATGCTCCACTGACTGAGCCAGCCAAACACCCCTGATTACCTTGTTTTAACCTTACCTCAACCCTAAGAGATAGGTAGTTTAGATTTTATCATCACTGTTTTACAATTGAGAAAATTAAAGAGGTGAAGTAGTTTGCCCAAGTTCACATGGTTTCCAACTGGTGGCACCAGAACTAGCTCTCAATCTGTGACTTCCCTTCCAGTATCTTTCCATAAGACATGTTGCCTTTGAAGTCTGGTCAGTGCTTCATTGTATTCCTTTTCTTTTAACACAGACTCAAACAAAGGACTTTTTATTCCCTTCCCCAACCGGGAAATAAAGGATTCCCTAATGAGTACCTCTGCAACCCAGGGCAATGGTATACCAGATCAGAAATTAGACACTTTCCCACTGGGAACACAGGTAATGTATTCACTTTCCTGTTGATCTGTTGACTAGTCAGTGATTAATACTAACAATTCATTGGACTTTCAATTATTTATGAAGGTCTAGGAGGACTTGTTTGATGAAGGCATTTTAGACCCTTTAAAAGGAAAGAAGGGGAGACAGGATGCAGAGGACCTCCTCCATTAATTTCAATCTCCCTTTTCCCTCTCCCCTACTAGGCCATTATCAAAAGTGGTATATTTATACATACAACTTTTAGCACATTTTATGCCAGGTATTTTGGCTCTCAACAGGAATACAACAGTTAGAGGTTGTGGCTGGTTTTAAAATTTCTCCTCTCTACCCAATGTCTCCATCTCCTGTTAACTTACTCCTTACATTTTTCTCCTCTGGCTTTTTTTTTTTTTTTAAGATTCATTTATTTATTTGAGAGAGAGAGAAAGAGAACATGACCTGGTGGGGAGAGAGAGAGAGGAAGCAGACTCCCCGCTGAGCTCGGAGCCCCATGCAGGACCCTGAGATCATGATCTAAGGCGAAACCGAGAGCCGGAGGTTCAACCTACTGAGCCACCCAGGCGCCCCTACCTCTGACTTTTAATTACTGAATCTTAACATCTCAACTGTGGCTTTCCCAAAGCTGCCTCTTCATTGGAACATAAAAGAAGAAAAGTTAAGGGGTGAAGATGGCATAGAAGTTGTGGGCATTGGGGAGGTAGAGATTGTGCAAGATGAGGCAAGAATTGAGTTTTTAGGGACACTCAGTAACTAACGCTCAGTCAGTTAAGCATCGACCTTTGGCTCATGTCTTGATCCCAGGATCCTGGGATTAAGTCACTCATCAGGCTCCTTGCTCAGTGGGGAGCCTGCTGCTCCCTCTGCCTGCTGCTTGCCCTGCTTGTTCTCCCTCTTTCTCTATCTCTGACAAATAAATAAATAAATATCTAAAAAAAAAAGTAAGTTCTTAGTGAAAAAATTGGTGGGAGGGGGATACAACCATTATATAAGACTCATTTGTATGAGTGAGTATGATCAGGAAGCAGAACTATTATATTCAACTTCTCCTTTTTGTCTGCATTTTCTTTGATAAATTATGAGCAATGAAATTGCTGAAAATAGCTAGAAAGAGAAAAAAAAGAATCAGGGTGCCTGGGTGGCTCAGTTGGTTAAGCAACTGCCTTCCACTCAGGTCATGATCCTGGAGTTCCGGGATCAAGTCCCACGTCGGGCTCCCTGCTCAGCAGGGAGTCTGCTTCTCCCTCTGACCCTACCCCCTCTTGGGCTCTCTCTCTCAAATAAACAAATAAAATCTTAAAAACAAAAAAGAATCAAGGGCTCTGATTAATCCACATTTGGATTATCAACACTGTACTAGTAAAAAGTTAGTACGATTTTTTTTTCAGTTTGAGTTTACAATACCTTCATTTTATAAAAAGACAGATTAGGGGGCGCCTGGGAAGCTCAGTTGTTAAGCATCTGCCTTCGGCTTAGGTCATGGTCTCAGGGTCCTGGGATTGAGCCCGACGTTGGGCTCCCTACTCAGCAGGAAGCCTACTTCTCCCTCTCCCACTCCCCCCTGCTTGTGTTCCCTCTCTAGCTGTGTCTCTCTCTGTCAAATAAATAAAATCTTAAAAAAAAAAAGATTTGTCTTTAGTTGATTCCTTTGTTTTTGGATATTCTCTTTAGGTAACTTAGAAACTATCTCAATTACTATTTTAAAATATCTTAGTATTTGTTTTAAAGGAAATGTCTGGTAAGGTCACATCTGGATACCCATCAACTCTCTTTTTCTAAACATTCAAACTTTTTTTCCTTGCAGGAAGTGGCAAGAAGGGAGATCCCAAGTGACAATCACCAGGAAGATGGTAAATATTTTGTTCAGGGAATATTTTTCTCCACACTAATCAGAGAAACCTAGAAGTGATGAGATTTGGGAGAAGATGGAGATATCTCAGCCCTGGGGCCCTATAGGGTCAACTAACTCTGCTTTTGTTGGGGGCTGCCCTGGATGCTTAGTGACCTGTGAGGCCTTTCTGATTGAAGAGTGAATATTCTGACTTCCTTTGTTCTTGACTTTTTGTACTGGCTGGCTCTTCCTTGTTTCTTTTTCTTACTTTTCTTGCCTTCTTTTGTATTTATTATGTTTTTATTCATCCATTTTTTTCTCTCTACTGGTTTATTTATAAGTTATACACTGTTTCAATACTTTTATTATTATTATTCCCCAAACTACAATATGTGCCCTTAACTTATATAATTGAAAAATTAATCAATACCTTAACTCTTGTCTTGGATAATTTAAAGACTTTAAAGTACTTTACTCCTTTCAGTCTCTCCTGATGTAAATATTATTATTACAGATTTTAATTCTCTCTATATTTTTAAACCCACATGAAATTGTTCTTATACAGTCAATGTTCATCTAAATTTATCTTTGTATTTACCACTTTGTTCTTCATTTCTTTTTTCATCCTAGATTTCCCTTCTGAGATCAGTTTTCTGTAGTTTATAGTATGTCTTTTAGAATTTCCTTTAGTGTGGGTTTATTCTGTTGAAGTCTTTCAGTTTTTGTTTGTGTGAAAATGCCTCTATTCTACCATCATTCTTTTTTTTTTAAAGATTTTATTCATTTATTTGATAGAGACACAGCAAGAGAGGGAACACAAGCAGGGGGAGTGGGAGAGAGAGAAGCAGGCTTCCCGGTGAGCAGGGAGCCCAATATGGGGCTTGATCCCAGGACCCTGGGATCATGACCTGAGCCAAAGGCAGATGCTTAACGACTGAGCCACCCAGGCGCCCCTCTACCATCATTCTTAAGGAGTATTTTGGCCAGGTATAAATTTCTAGGTTGGCAGTTATTTCTTTCAGAATATTGAAGGTATTCTGCTGTATTCTTTTGTTTTTGCTTTTGAAAAGTTAGCTGGAGGTCTGTCACTCCTGCAAGGATAATCTGTCTTTTTTTCTCTGGCTGCTTTTAAGATTTTCCAGTTGTCTTTGGTTTTCTTCAATTTTGGTATGATACGTGGATTTCTTTTTATTTTCTCCTGTTTGGTATTTATTACACTTGAATCTGTGAATTGTGTCTCATTAATTCTGGAAAGAGCTTCAAATATTTTTTGTGTCTCATTCTTTCTATCTGTCCTTCTGGGACTCTTGATTAAAAAAATATATAGTAGAGATCTGTACTTTGTCCTCTTTCTCTTTTTCTCTTATTCTTTTATATTTTTGGGTGGGGGGATTCTGATATGCATTCTGGATAATTCCTTCTGACCCATCTTTCAGTTCACTAATGTTTTCTTCAGCTGTGTCTAATCTGCTGTTAATCTTGTCTGCTGAGTTCTTAATTTCAATAGTTTTATTTCTCAGTTCTCTAAGTTTTATTTTGTTCTTTTTCAAGTCTGCTGTGTCAGTTTTTATAAACAGAAATTTTCCAGCTTGTTTTGTATCTCTTTATACTAGTAAATATAGCTGTTGCATAGGCTATATCTGTTGATTCCAATATTTGAAGTTTATTGTCTTTTTTCCTACTCATACTTACTTACATACTTTTTTGCTCCTTTGCTTTGGCTACCTTTGCTTTGGCTATTTGCTACATATTTGAAAAACTATTTATAGGAATTATTTAAAGTCTTACATAAAGATATCTTTTCCAGATCAGATTTTCATTTGCTTCTACCAAGTACGTGGGACACTGTCATCCTGGGATCACTTAAATCCAAGCTCAAAGCTTAAGGTTCCCCATTAATCCAGATGATACAAACCTGGATTACCAGTCAGTACAAGGGCTGGCTTACTTCCAGTTTACTTTTACTCTGAAGGTTGCCGTCTGCTTGGGGTTCCATCTTAATGTGTATGTGGGGAGGATGGGGGTAGGGATGGTTTGCCACACTCCTCACTTGGGATGGGTGTTGAACTTCTGTTCCTGTTATCCTAAAACTTCTGACGGTAAGTGTGACTTTCAGTGCTAGTCTTACCGATGTGTGTCCTTGCTGTTTCCTAGATTTTGGCCTAGAAAATCCTCACCAGCTAACAAGCTCTTTGATGCTTTTAAGAACATGTATCATCGCACTTTTTTAATGTCTTCAATAAGAGGCACAGTCTGAATTATCTAACCTCATCACTTGTTAGAATCTTTTTGTTACATAAAAATATTGTTCTACAACCTTTCCCTCACTGTGTAGGCCAGCCCTGGGTAAAACGCTGATATTCTGTAGGTCCTACAGAGATAAAGAGTGCTTGGTTCTACGTTTTTGAAGTTAACGTGACTAACTCAGGTATGCTTCCTAAGGAAGACCTTTAAGCGTATGAAACTCTGAAAACTCCAAAGGGCGCAAAGAATTCTTCTACTTGCCCCACTCTGACACTCTTTAGAGATGACATACAGCTGTCTGAAAGAAATGCTTTATAGCTGGTTAGGGATTTTCATAGTTTTGGATTCCCTGCCATTTAATTGGCTTAGGATACTGGTTCCCAGTGTATGAACCTAGACCTTCTGAGTGGAGTTTGGGGGTGGGAGTGGGCTTAGCATTATTGTGAGGAGTCTACGAAATCATAAACCTACCAACTATTGTCTATAGACTGAAGACATAAGATCACAACTCTTGTCATATGAGGTACACCAAAATTTTTATATGAAAACAGCATCTAGAAAAACTCTGATACTATAGTTTTAGGAGGAAATGCCTAGGGGATTAGGTTGACTTGAAATTTATCTCCAGAATGTTAAAGATTCTTTACTGTTTACACAGTGTCCAACATGTTTTGTTGTTGTTCCATGTAAAAGTCCTTTTATCATTTTATGCCACTATTTATCAAAATTATAAACCATCTCTTCCTGAGAACTTTTTCTTGTAGACAGAGGTATGTCTAGTGAACAGAGATACCCTAACTGAGCCAAGAAGAATTCTCATTGTATTTTGTGTTTCCTTTTCCCCTTGGTGGTGGTTAGAATTTAGACACTACTCTCCTCGTCAGTCCACAGTCCAATCCCCAGAGAAGATGGCTCGAGAAGGCTACCGACTATCTTTTTTGGACAATAAGTCTTCAGGTTCTTCTCCAGAAAAGGATTTGATACTAAAACCTGATACTTACCAGCTTACCCATGATGTCTCATTGGGTAAACGTCTGGATGTGGGTGATTCTAGCCAGATCCATCCCTATCAGTTACCTTCAGATGTTGGTCTAGAAAATTATGATAGTCATTATTCTCACAATCTATCCCTGCATGGAAGTCTTGGAAAAAGGCCTCCGAGAAGCAAGAACTACCGAGAATATAGCATAAAGCCTTCAAATGACATGAAGGCCACCACATCTCATTCCTGTGGAGACTTACTGACTTCTCTGTCAAACCCTGACTCTGGCACCGGAAGGCTTTTGAAGCTTAGTTCAGGTAATAGCTTCCTGTCAGTTTATAGTCCTTTTTCCTAGTCATGAGATAGAGGTATAACTGGAAATTTTGGAGTTAACATTTCTTAAATTATATTAGCATTTCTTAAATTTGATTTTGGGCTATCAGCCAGTGAAACCTCCAGAAATCTCCAGGATATGACTTTAACATGATAGATACATTATTAAAGAAAACTTGTAGAAATGTGAGCTTCATAACTATGTACTATTATAGCTAAATAGAATACCAGGACATATTTCTAGTTGTGTCTAGTCTTCTCTGGCCACAGTCAGAGCAATATACTTCACATACTACTTAACAGTGAAGACAGAAGAGATGTATATTTGTTTGTTTTGTTTTGTTTTAATTATTTATTTGACAGATAGCAAGAGAGGGAACACAAGCAGGGGGAGCGGGAGAGGGAGAAGCAGGCTTCCCGCGGAGCAGGGAGCCCAATGTGGGGCTCGATCCCAGGACCCTGGGATCATGACCTGAGCCGAAGGCAGACGCTTAACGACTGAGCCACCCAGGCGCCCCAGAAAAGATGCATGTTACTCTCCAGCCCCTGCTTACTGCTCTCATGTAGGATTGGAGTATGTGGACAGTTGGATTTAGCCAGGGTTGGGGTTTTGTCAGGTGGAGAGGGGGAAGGGAAAGGATCCATAGAGTTGAGGGTATATAGTAGGGAGAGGTTATTATGACCATTGGACTCTAGGTGGGGTAAGGTTGAAGTGAGACAGGAGAGAGTTGAAAGGCAGGGTCATCTCCCAGCCTGTTTCCTTCACAGATCTGTATGCCACAACCCATTTCAACAGTGACCCTGCTCTGCTGGTTAATGTAGAGCAACAATTATCTACCAGTCTCAGTGATTTAACACCAGCACCTGGTTCTTTCCCAAACAACTCCGCCCTGGGAGACTCTCTACGGACACTGCTGTTGCCTCCTGGGACCTCAGAACACAGAGAGAATCTGACCAAGAGGTCATTAAGCCCATCGAGGAGAGGATTCAAACGGAAGGACAATATCCCTGCCACCCTGAATCCAAAGACTGGTTTCAGAGATACTACGGGAAGCGAGGCAAGTATTGGTTTGTTTGTGCTTGTGCAACAAACACATCAGATCCAAGACCACAATTGCGTTCTGTTGAGGGTGGCAATGATTCTGACCAAGGGTACTACAAATTCAAAGGGATTTTTAGAGGCCAGTGGTTAATACTGCCAGGCCAAAGCCTGTGACTCTTCTGCCCTTAGGAAAGGCATTCCCCTTCTGCATTTTCTCATTTCTGTCACAGTGAGAACATTCCCTAATCTACTTCCAGAGCGTAAATTTTGTGGGGACTCTGATAATAAGCAGTGACAGAGTTTACCACAGCAGGGAATGCAGAAGTTGCCAGGGGCTCTGGGTTGGCTGAAGAGTGAACTCTGTAGCACTGATGTTTATAATCTTAAAATCTTAAATCTTAAAATTATTCACAGTTGCTTTTTATTCATTCACTCATGAATGAATAAATAAATAAATATATATATATATCTCATATCTAAATGAATACAAAATAATTGTGAGTTTTACTGGACAAATCTACCTATACATTTTTCTATGTAAGATTCTTACTAAATAAAAAGTATCTTTAGTAGTGGGTCCAACAATAACATTTAACATATAACATTCAGGGGCACCTGGGTGGCTCATTAAGCGTCTGCCTTTGGCTCAGGTCATGATCCCAGGGTCCTGAGATCGAGCCCCGCCATTGGGCTCCCTGCTCTGCGGGAAGCCTGCTTCTCCCTCTCCCACTCCCCCTGCTTCTGTTCCCTCTCTCGCTGTGTCTCTGTCAAATGAAAAAAAAAAGTTTTATATATATATATATATATATATATATATATGTATGTATATATATATATACATATACATACACATTTAAAATGTTATAGGGGCGCCTGGGTGGCTCAATCGGTTAAGCATCTGCCTTCAGCTCAGGTTGTGATCCCAGGGTCCTGGGATCCCTGTGTCTAGCTCCTTGCTCAGTGGGGAGTCTGCTTCTCCCTCTTGCTCTTCCCCTCCCCTCCGCCCATGTTCTCTCTCTCTCAAATAAATAAATAAAATCTTTAAAATGTTATAGAACATTTATGTTTATTATATATTAACACACTAAATATAAGCTTATGAGTAAAAATTTTTTAAATACTTCCCAGGGGTGCCTGGGTGGCAAAGTCGGTTAAGCATCTGACTCTTGATTTCATCTCAAGTCATGATCTTGGGGTCATGGGCTCAAGCCCCACATCAGGCTCCACGTTGAGCCTGGAGTGTGCTTGAGATTATCTCTCCCTCTGCCACTCCCTTCGTGCTCTCTCTCTAAAATAAATAAATCTTTTAAAATACAATACAATAACATACTCCCCATTTTGGGGAGGTCTGGCTGGCTCAGTCAGTAGAGCATGTGACTATTGATCTCAGGGTCATGAGTTTGAGCATCATGTTGGGTATAGAGATTACTTAAACTAAAAATTAAAAAAAATACTCCCCATTTTATGATGTCTAATATGTTTTTAAACTGTTCTGCAAGTTTAGTCTTTTTATACTACATAACTTGATATATTGAGCCATAGATTGGTGTCAAAACTTATTTAATGCTTTCTTCTAAAAATCTCTACAGAAAATTATGAGTATACTGTTATCTTTGAAATTATCCTTGAATAAACTACTATATTTGCTTGGACATAAATAACATTCTATTCAAATCCAAACTGAAAGATGAAACTCCCCCTTTTTTTTAATGTTAACACTTTAAATGTCCAGATTCTTCCCATATTGTGTAAGAATGACAAATGGTTGGTGTTTTTTTTTTTCTTGAGCCTCTCTCTAGTGACCTGGGCAGTTTGCATGGTTTGCCAGGAAACCACAGTCCCCCGATCTCTGCCAGAACTTCCCATGTGGCCACTGTCCTCAGACAGCTCTTGGAGCTTGTGGATAAGCACTGGAATGGCTCTGGCTCTCTCCTTCTTAACAAGAAGTTTCTCGGTAAGTGAATGCATTCTCAGCTCCTGGAGAAGGGCTCAGACCTTGCTTCTGTTCTGTGTTCCTATAAAAGCCACTCAGTCCCCTTAACTTGCAAGGAAAAAATTGTTCCCATGATCACCAAAATTTGTCAGCGGCACAGTAATTGACAAATCTGCATTTTTCTAATAATCTTCTTCCCTGTTTGTTTCATCAACATTCTTCCCTCGTGTACCAATTGTTTTGTCCCTTTTATGACTTTTTGGTAGTCTTTGAGTAAAATGTAGAGTGATGAGATATGTAAAATAGAGTGTGGTGGTATTGGTGGTGGTATTAATGATTATGAAAGGATTTTATGATCCTTGGGACAGTGCCAGTAATAAATACAATAAAAATTGGGTTTGATCATCAGAATTCTAAGATGCCTGTTGAAATGTTATGATTTGAAAAACTTGAATGAATAAATGACTTGGACTCAGGGCTTCTTTTTTAGGAACTTGGAGGAAAAATCATACTGCAAATATTGCCTTCCACATGTTTATTTGTTGTTTAATGGAAAAAGAGTTCAAGGAGATCTTGGTGGTGGTAAACGTTTAGGAAAAACTAGAAACTTTAAAGTTGTTTGGGCTCAATTTTTTTTAATTTCTAAAGGGACACATAGAAAAACTCTTAGTATAGTTTCCTTCCTACATTGACTCTTTGCTCTCATTTTTTAGGAAATTATCCTCAGGAGCCACTCATCAGTGACTAGAGAATAGCACAGGGCTATTGAGGGTCTACTCATGAAGGTCTACTGTTGTTTCTCCATAGAAGGCATGGGATAGAATTTCTTATCCATTATGAAACACCTCTTACAGACACTTTGTAAATTCTTGTAAAAAGGAAATATTAGATTACCATATTTGTCCTACAGAGCTGGTAGTTATTGACTAGGAATTCTGTGCTTTAGCTTTTAAGATTGGCCCGTGTGCCCAACCTGAATTTTTGGCAGGTCCTGCCCGAGATTTACTTCTGACTTTGGTAGTCCCTGCTCCTTCCCAGCAGTGGTGTCACTCACATCCTGAAGATACGTCAAAAACCTTCCGCAGGAGAGAGATGGAACTGAAGGAAGCTGGGCATGTGGTCCCTAATGACATGGTATGCCTCTCTCATCTTCCTTTCCTACTCTTTCTTTACTAGAATAGGACAGAGCATCAAAACTAGAACAGCTTTGTGCCATAAAGATCATCATCACCATGCACCTAGATGTTCGGGAACCAAAATACAGAGAAGTCAGTCAAGGCAAATCAGGAACACAAAACTTGCCAGCATAGGAACAACTTGGAGGTTCTGCAGGATGATTCCCTAATCCTAGTCCTATTCCAAAATTTCTGAAGAAAGACTTGGAGAAAGAAAAAAAGAATGACCTTAGAATGAAAATACTTAGGTTCATATTTTCGAAGGTTATGGTTTAATTCCAATGAGGGAAGGCCAATATCTGTGGGATTGTCTTTCCTCCCTTCTGATGGAACAGAGAGCCCTGAAACAGGGGCCATTCCTAGAACATCAGGCTGCTGACTTTATGAAAGGAAGAAGGGACTCATATCCTTAGGCTTTTTCCTTCTTTTCTTAACATAAGAGGATTTTCACACACCAACTTTAGATAGCTGATTCAGAATTGCTGGCCACTTGTCAAAAGAAGCACTTGTCCTGCAAGAGTAGTGGATAACTCACAGGAAAGATTGCGTCTCCTTGTGCTTTTGTTTGCTGCACTTGAGCTATGTTTACCAATGAATTAAAATTCTAATGAGAAAGTCTGAGAGATGCTGACCTCCTTTTAGTTTATCACAAAACAGAGGAAAACGTCTTTCAGTCTTTAAAAGCCCTCCACAGAATTTCAGATTCTTAATGTATTTGTATTTTGTTTTCTCATCTAAAGGAAAGTTTGAAGCAAAAACTGGTCAGAGTGCTAGAAGAAAACCTCATTTTGTCAGAAAAAATCAAGCAGTTGGAGGAAGGTGCTGCTACCTTGATTGTGAGTGGGCACCAGTCACACACTTATGGTGAGTTCAGGAAAGCAACATGGGGTGTCCCAAGACAACTGTTTGTTTATAGATGACCCATTTAATAAGGTCACATGGCTTCCTAAATGGAAACAATCATCTTGCCTCAGAGAGTTGTAATGCCAGTGGCTTGAGTTACCATATGAAGCTCTTTGTCAGTGTAAAGCAAGTACAGATGTTATTATTGTCATTATTTTTGAAATTGACACTTTCTGATTATAGCAGAAGATCATGTTCTATGGGCACCTGGCTGGCTCAGTTGGTAGAGAGTGTGCCTCTTAAGCTCAGGATTGTAAGTTTGAGCCCCACATTGGGTATAGAGATTACCTAATTTTTTTTTAAGATTTTATTTATTTGAGAGAGAGAAACAGAGTGACAGAGATAGCGAGAGAGAGAGAGCACAAGCAGAGAGGAGAGGGAGAAGCAGGCTCCCCACTGAACAGGGAACCCAGTGTGGGCTTGATCCCAAGACCCTGGGATCATGACCTGAGCCAAAGGCAGAAGCTTAACCGACTGAGCCACCCAGGCGCCCCACATGTAGAAACTACTTAAAATTTTAAAAAGATCGGGGCGCCTGGGTGGCTCAGTTGTTAAGCATCTGCCTTCGGCTCAGGTCATGATCCCATGGTCCTGGGATCGAGTCCCGCATCGGGCTCCCTGCTCAGCGGGAAGCCTGCTTCTCCCTCTCCCACTCCCCCTGCTTGTGTTCCCTCTCTCTCTGTGTCTCTCTCTGTCGATAAATAAATAAAATCTTAAAAAAAAAATTTTAAAAAGATCATGTTCTTTATAGATAGTTTGAAAAATATAAGGAAAGTATAATCCCATTACCTGCAATAACTGCCATTATTATTTTTGGTATATTTTCTTTCACCATAGTCCTATACATATATTTTCAACTTAAAATTTGTGAGGGGCACCCAGCTGGCTCAGTCTGTGGAACTCTCAGTGTTGTGAGTTCTAGCCCCAAGTTAGGTGTAGAGATTACTTAAAAATGAAATCTTTTAGGGATGCCTGGGTGGCTCAGTTGGTTAAGCATCTGATTCTTGATTTCAGCTCAGGTCGTGGTCTCTGGGTTGTGGGATTGAGCCCCACGTTGGGCTCTGCCCTCAGTGCGGAGTCTGCTTGTCCCTCTCCCTCTGCTTCTCTCCCTGCTTGTGCTCTCAATCTCTCTCTCAAATAAATAAATAAATAAAATCTTTAAAAAAAACTTTTAAAAAAATAAATAAAATTTGTGACTTGATGTTTTAAAAATAAACAACATACAACAAAATGCACACATTTTAAGTTAGATGAGTTTTGACAAATATATATATTTTTAATTCCATCCCAATCAAAATACAGAACATTTCTTTTACCTCAGACCCTTGTGCAGTGAGTTTACCCTACTATCTACCCTAGGCAATCACTAATCCGATTTTTACATCCTAATATTATTTATTTAATGGCAAAAGCATTTCCTATAATATCACATGAATAATTCTAAAGAATTTCCAAACATTCAGTAGACTTGAAATGAAATGCTTAAATGAAGACCTGAGTAGAAATACTTCTCTGAAATTGTTTCTTCTTTTCTGTTGGAGCTGAGAATCTTAATGTTCATTATGATAAATAATGCAGCTGTTTATGTACATAAATTTCAGACTATTTTCCTAGAAGACATTCCTAGAAGTAGAATCAGTAGCTCAAAAGATGTGGACATTTTTGAGGATTTTGTTGCATATTGTCATATCACTCCCAAGCAAGGTTATTTCAGTTTACATTCACATCAGCAGTGAATGTATTTGAATGCCCTTTTCATTCCATCCTTGCCCACACTCCAGTTTTTTGTTTTTGTTTTTGTTTTTCCCATTGTGATAAGTGAAAAATAGCATCCCATTGACATCTTGATTTGTACTACTTTATTATTAGCGTTCAGGCCAGTATTTTAGATAAAGTCTACCCTTGGCTTTAAACATCTAGCTCAGCACCCCTAAGCAAACATCATGGGCACTTGGATTTATAAGAAAAAGTTGATTTGGAAGTCAGCACTGAATTTCCAGAAGAAACTCATCACTATCTGATTGTCACAAACCTGAATTATCAAGGCATCTCCACTAAGCTACTCTGAAAATAGATGTTTGTTCACTAGATACCTACTTTGAATCGGCCACAAGGCCCAGTACTGTATTTTGGCTTACTGGTGATAAATACAGCTGTTGCAGCTCTGTTTTCCTCCTTCTAGAACCTTGCTACTCAAAGGGTGATCCATAGATCAGAAACGTTAGCATCACCTGGGAGCTTGTTAGACATGTAGAATATTGGGCTTCACCTCAGACCTACTGAATCAGAATCTGTTTTTGACAAAATCCCCAGGTGATTTGTAAGCATATTAAAGTTTAAGAAGTACTGTTCTAGAAGACTGACTTCCTTAGGACCAGAGTTCCTGTGCTTTTACCTATTTCATTATTGCAAGTATCGGTAACATATTTGGGGAGCTAGGTATGAGTGTCTTGACTACAAATTCAGTTTCTGCAAGCACTCATTGAGTTATTACTATGTGCCTGACATAGTTCCAGATGTTTTCACAGATTCTACAAGGAGTGAAGTACCTACATTCACAAACTAAAATGGAGAATATAGAGAACCTAATATGTGTTGACTATGCTAAATGAGGATTGAATCCTCACAACCGTGGTGGGGCAGGGTTATTAGCCCTAGTGAAACTCAGAAAAATAAACTAATGCACAATATTAAATGGTTGAATTTTAATTCGGGTCTCTCTGTTCCTAAGCCCCATATCTGCTGTCTCTAAGGGAGGGAATGGTGAATGGAGGGCGGAGATGGAGGCAGTGGGGCCCCCAATTCTTTAAGATGGCCACCTGACTACTTAATCTCTGCTCAAAGATAGTGGCTTGGAATCCTGTTCACACCTGGCCACTGTACCCTTTGTAGATGATCTTCTGCGCAAAAACCAACAGCTGAACATGCAGGTGGCTTGCCTGAACCAGGAGCTTGCCCAGCTGAAAAAGCTGGAGGAGACAGTGGCCCTTCTCCATGAAAGTCAGAGGTAGGAGAGGGCCTATCTAGCTGGCTTCTGGAAGCAGATATTTACTTTCCTTTATCAGCTTTGTCTTATTTGATAATATCTATGTCCTTTTCAAATTAACTCTATTCTGTGTGTAAACCTCATGTATCTAGGTGTATCTGTGTGTAAACCTTCTGTATTCCAGGACACGTGAGGGACTAAATGTCTTTGCTGGCTTTGGTGGGTTACAGCCCCCTCAATAATAAGTAGTTTCTCACTAGATCCAACAGGACCCTTGTTTGAGTCAGCTAGCTTTTCTTGGTCACTATGTGCCCCTAAAATCAGCTGTCTGGCTCTTCTGGAAAATGCCTGCCTCCTAATGGTCTCAGAAGAGACATCAAGCACTTAGGGAGAGTGACGGAAAGTCCCATGTATTTGTTCTCTTCAGAGGAGCTCAACAGCATCAGCCTCTTCAAAGAACGGTACCCTCAGGATGCCAGTTAGACAAATCAGAAGAAGCCTCAAGACTATTGGTACATTTACAGAAGCTCTTGACATTTTGATTTGCAAAACACCTTCACTATGACTTTGAATGAAGTTTAAATATAAGAACCCCATCCCCAAACCTTCATCCCCAAACTTTACTTCATGAATACCTAGTGAATTAGGATAGCTTCATATTCAGAGAATTAGACCCAGACCCATTCTAGATGGCTTTAAAAAAAAAAAACAACTTTTCATTATAATTATTTCAAACACAAAAGTAGAGGAAGTAGCATAAAGTCATCCTTCTCAAACTGGGGTATCGGAATCACCTGAAAAACTTAATGAAATGCAGATTGCTGGGCCAGAGTTTCTGACTCAGCAGGTCTGATGAGGACAGAGAATTTGCATTTCCAGTAAGTTTCCAGGTGATGCTGTTGTTGCTGATTTGGGGACCACATTTTGAGAACATTAGGGTATATCTCTTTAGGTGATGTACAGTCAAATTGCTATATTTTAAAGTAACTTGAAATAATTCTTCTGTGTGTGGTTAAACCATCAGTTCAATGTACAGCCTCAATTTGTTTCATTTTGCTTTTGATTCATAAGGAATTTAATTGTTCCTATTTAATCTTGTTTTATAATTATATAAAACATTTAAATGGCCCCAAAGTCAAATTATAAAATGTTACCTTATTCAGACAAATATAAAAAACATAATGTTGTTTTAACATTTTATCTTAGAAATCAGTTTACAGTAGTATATAGAGTTAGTTCTCCTTCCTTTTTATAACTGCATAGGACTGCAACCGTGTTTGTTTGCCTTCTATTGATGGACATTTAGGTGGACAGTGTTTTGCTGTTATAAATAGTGTTGCAATGAACAGAATTGTGCATGCATTTTTTTGGTTAGTCTCTGATAGCTTTTAATATTACATGGTAATACAGAGTCCAAGAATGCAGTCATGACTAGCACCATTAGTTAATTAGGATAAATTAGATGAAGTAGAAGTTAAGATTTGGGGATAGAAATTGGAGACCTGGTCAGGTGCCAGTCTTCTAATACTTCTACTTACCTCATCATGAAAGTGCTTTGGAAAGAATAGAACAATCACTATAAAAAACGTGAATTGTGTTATTGCTACAGTCAGTCTGGAACATAATCAAACAACTGTAATGAAGAAATAAACTGTCAGCCTGCTTTTAAAATAATCCACTCATAAACCAGTCAGTTCTTTCTATTTAAAGATGTTACTTCATTTTACATTTGTCTTTAGTAAACATTTCAGGTCTGAATAGCATCTACTTTGCTTTTATGATTTCATGACTGTCTTTTTTGCCCGTGCCTCAGATCCCTGGTGGTAACTAATGAGTATCTGCTGCAGCAGCTGAATAAAGAGCAAAAAGTTTATTCTGGGAAAGCACTCCTGCCTCCTGAGAAGAGTCATCATTTGGGGAGATCGTCACCCTTTGGGAAAAGCACGCTGTCTTCCTCCTCACCAGTGGCACATGACACGGGTCAGTATCTAATACAGAGTGTCTCAGACTCTGTTCCAGAGCCTAGTTTATGGAGCTAGCACTGAGCACCTTCTCTGCAGCTTCCTCTCTCTGCCTTCAGGGGGGCTCTCGGTGTCATTGCCACTAGTATGGTGGTATTTACTCACAAGATTAAGAAAAAATTTTATTCCGATTACATTGTATTGGTCCTTTTTATTTTTTTTTATCTCCTCCCATCGACTCCTTCTTTCTCCCTGCCCACAGAAATAATTGGCACTTAATCCTAGGCATCATATCACATAGAAACATTTGGCTGAAAATGTTGAAAAGGAAAAAAATCAGACATTTTTCTGAGTGTCACTTGAAACTAGTAGAAGGTTAAATGTAGAAGGTTAAATGTAGAAGGTTATAAAAGAACATCAATGACCAGTTGTGTTTTATGTTAGAACAAATTTCAGAGACTCTGTATTGATTGGTTCATCAAGCGTGTTTTGAGTTTCCTCCCACCATAGTGAAAAGGTGACACTGTCTGGTTTCAGCTTAGGAGCAGCCAACAGTTTAGTTGAGAAAAGCAAAACTCATGTGATGATATTTGGTATTGGTACCAAACAGGTCTAAATACAAGCCCAAAGATGCCCTGGAGAGAGAGAAAGACAGGGAGAGAGAGAGGCAGAGGAAGGAATTCCCACTATGGGAATTGGAGAAGGCATCAATGAGGACTTGTCATTTGAGTGGAAGTTTGCACAATTACAATGGTAACAGATAGAGGGGGCACACAGAGGTTCCCAGACCAAGAATGCAGAGCAGAAGAGTGTGGAGCACCTAGAGGGATTGCAGGGCAGGGAAGATGTGGGTCATGATGCTGGGAGAATATATAACCAGGGGACCTGTCCTAGCCTGAGAGGTATGGTGTCAGGAAATGTCCACTAAAGAAATGATCTTTCTTTTTTAAATTTTATTGTTATTTATATTAAGGAACCTCTGTGCCCAATGTGGGGCTCAAACTTCTGACACCAAGATCAAGAGTCACACGGTGTTCAAGAAAGAAATGATCTTTCAACTGAGACCTGAAGAATGAATAGGAAGTCACCAGGCAAAGCACAGGGCCAAGGGCAGAGGCAATGGGAAGGAACTTGGTCCATTCAGGGAACTGAAGTGCCAAGAGGAGATGAGTTGGAACTAGACTGCACCGTTCCTTGAAGATTTTAGATAGGAAGGCAAAGGAATGACATTTGTGTTTGAGGAGCTTTCTCTGTGAGAGGAATGGGTTGAGGGCCATGTGGAGTGGGGGGAGAATCAAAGAGGAGGTAGAGATGTGAGAGAAGACTGGTGTGGCCCAGACCAGAGATGAAGCTTCCAAATGTTAGCTTTGGGCTCACTTTACACGTGAGTACCCTGTATTTCAGACCTGAGGCATAATTTTTCTTTGACTCGTGATTGTTTGGGCATTTCAAAATCAATGGGAAAGATAAAGAAAGTGGCTCTAAGTATGTTTCTGTTTCAGGATAGCCCAGGCAGCTAATGTTGCCAGAGAGCATGTAGAGGGTGAAGGACTACCAACCTAACTCCATATTGTGCTTCTCTTCATCTCCAGGGTCGTGTCAAAGAGAGACAGACAGGTGGAAAGATTACACACTTATTGCTCCCCTGACCTGGTACTCTGCAGGGAAGGAGAGCTATAGCCAAAATAATGAGACGGGAAGATCACAACCAAGATCACACACTTCTAAGTTATAAATAAAATCCACAGACCTCTGAATTTAATGTGGGTTCCCAAAAGAAGCATGTGCAGAGGAGCTATAAGTTTCTTTGAGGTGCATGGCCCTTTAGGAGCTCAAGTGAGCTCATACTCTGTGGCAATAGTAAGAATCAGCCCCCTTCCTGACTTCTCTAGGCCTGCCTTGGCCCCATTAAGAGGACTCCAAAGAATGTAAGCCTTGCCCAGGTAGGGTAACCTCAGCCTGTAGCCTTGTAGCCCTGAGTTGTCATATTTCAGGGTCCTGGCACAGTACATAGGCCAACTTACTGGGAAGACCACTGAGGGAAAAATAATGAACTTCTTTTTCAACCCCGCTCTCCCTTCCTTGCCCTATGGACATCAATAATGCCAGACCCCCAGAACGTATTTGGGGTACCTCTAAGGAGGAGCAGACTGAGTCAGTCACCTTTCACCCTATATTCTATTGTCACTGAAAGTGGCTCGCCCTGCTCCAGGCCAGGCACCTCTCTAGGGTTGCTGGCCATGTCTGGGGAAGTCCCGCTGTGTTTCCTAATTTCCCTTTGTCCAGAGGTCGGGCAGGGATGGGGGTGTCAAAGGGCCAAAGAGTTGTGGGGCTAAGTGGGCTCAACATGGAGTGGGGAAGGCTCCTGAAGCAAGTAGAAAGTAAGTGGAGAGGGATTCCTCACCCTAGGCCCAGCACTGTTGGGAAGAAAAAGGAAATAGGGCTGGGATGGAAACTGGATTCTCAGGGAAGTTCTGTGTCCAAAAGGAGGAGCAGGGCCAATCTGACAAGTGTAGCCTTCTTGCCAGCCAAACAGAGTTTTAATGGCTCCATCCCACAGAACCTAAGCTCTCTTCCTTGCCTGCCTGCTTTCCTAGCAGGGGGACCCAAAGCTTTCCACCGTGAGGAGACTGGAAGATGAAACAGTGGTAACTGAAGGGCTGAAGGGGCGTTGTTTGGCCAGTCGATGCCACATACCAGATTCTGCTAGACCCATCAGTCTTTAAGGAGTTTCCCGGCTCTGGGAGGGCCTTGATTGCTCTCAGGCTCTATAACTACTTTTCAGGAAGAAGAGGGGCTTTACTCCTATAAGGTGGAGTTTTGGGGCTCTGCCTGTTCTCTCTCTGGGCTCTTCTAAGCCACGCTGCCAGTCACAGGAGGAGCTGAGCTGCTGCTCCCCTCTACATTGGATGGTACTCTCACCTGCAGCTTACTAGCCTGGACCAATTTGCAATGCAGTTAAATTCTTTTCACTATGAGGATATTTTAGCAAATGCAAGCCAGAAGGATTTGGGTTTCACTTTTATTTTGCTCACTTAAGTTTGCAATTCACCAAATTCCACAAGGCTGGAGAAATCATTCCTCTTACTGTTTGCTGATGGGAGAGGTAAAGGTCTCTGAAACTCCTCCCTGGGCAAAGTGATGTGGTCAGCTGAGTCAGGAGGAGCCCACAGCTGTCAGCTGTTAGGCAAGGCTCTGCTGTGGCCAGGTGCTGACCTCCCCCCTGTAATTCCCACCTCATCTCCCCAGCATCCCTGCCCCAAGCCATACTATTCCTCTCCATCCCCACTCCAAATAGAGTTGGGCTCAAGGGACTCTGGGCATACCTGGGGCAGGAACATCCCAGAACAGTCTGTGGGATGAGGGAATAAACAGCTGTACTGCTTTGCTGCCTTATCCACATCAGAAAAAAAAAAAAAAAGGTATTTGTGAGTGTTTATCTGTTAAGCCTTTTCTGGCACCCTTGGGAGTTGCCCTCTCCTGGGCAGGCCCTAAGTCCCATCCAGCCTGCTTGTCAGCAGGAAGGAAGGAGAGTTGGCCCCAAAGCCTTGGGCTTGGGAATAGCTATGGCCTAACACCCAGAGCCTCAGAAAAGAAAAAAGGTTGATCTGGAAACTTCCAGGACTCCTCAGGGACCAGAGATTTCCCCTCCCTCCTCCCAACCTGGGATGTTGAACAAATGGGAGGGAATCAGAAGCCCCTTCACTGTTGGACACACCGTGTTCACATGCCAAAGGCTGGTGTTGGGTGGCAGGCTCTATCACTGGCCATCCCGCCCCGTTTCTGGAAATCAGTGTTGGGGCTTTCTGTTAGAAAAAGCCTGGCCTGAGGCAAGAGGCATGGTTCTGAGCTTTATTCTGCAGAAGCCCCCTCACTCTCTGGGCCTCAGCTATAAAATTAGGGAGTTGGACTATCTACTCTCTAACATTCTTACTGGTCTTGCATTTTCTGACCTTCTGAGCTAGGCCCCAGAATGACTAACTTTGGTAGCCCCATTGAGGTGGGGACCTGTCAGCAGGCATAGACCTGACGCCTGGCACTGGGCCCTGCCCAACACCTGGCCCAGGCCTAGTCTGCTGTCTCATTCCTCTTTCCTGGAGAGGCCAAGACTGAACCCTAATAGGACGGCAAGCTGTGATGTTAGGACTGTGGGTCAGGGCTGAGGTGAGAGACCTTAGATTTCCCTAAGGAGCATCCTCAGGAAGTGCTGCTCTGTGCTAATGGAAGGGGCCTGGTATGTGTCTTTTTCTGGGCAGGGTTACCAGTGTAATGATCAGCAGAGAGTGACATGCAAGTGAGTGGTAACACAGAGGTCAGCAGGGTGTGAATGTCATTAACCCCATTATTATAAACCTGACCAGGCCATACTGGTACAAAAGGTGTCTTTATTGAGGTCTGGGTAAGAATTAGGCACTTGGCCAAAGCAGCAGCTTAAATATGAGGCAAGCACGCAGGGGTTAGCCATGCCCGGGGCTAGGGTGGGGCAGTGGGGCTACAGGCACAGACTCTCCCCAAACAGCCAGAAGTCAGGGAGGAAAGGGGAAGGGGAGAGGTCTGGGTCAGAGGCCTGGTGGGCTAGCCCTGTGGGGCTGGGCAGAAAGCTCTGGGTGGTAGGTCCAGCAGGGAGGGGACAGGGCTGTCTTGCTCCACGTGCCCTTTAGGCCCAGGCCTGAGGCTCTGCTGGGGGCAGCCGCACTGGGGGCCTTCCCAGGCCTCACTTCTTCACCTTAGCATCATAGGTGCCTGCATTCTTGTAGGCACTCACATAGCCGCTGTCATCCAGGATGTCCTGACGCCCAGCAATGCCCTTGCCCTTGCCGCTCTCATCGAAGCGCTCCTTGTGGGAGCCTGTGTACTTGCTGGTGTCGGTCAGCCGTTCCACAGCACCTCCTGTCTTTGCTTTCTGTTTGGATAGAGTTGTTCCCCCACGGAGGCCTGGTTAGGGAGCCCAGCCTTCCTCCCCAGCCGTGATTCCCTATATCCCCCTCAGTGGCCACCCAAGACCAGCCAGGGTACTTACGGTGACGCCCACATTGGCTGGTTCCTTGCCTGCCACCAGATGGCAGATAGCATCAAAGGCTTCCTCCTTACTCTTCCCTTTGAATCGCTTCATTGCCAGCTCTTCTAGGGCCTTCTTGAACTCCTCATAGTTGATAACCCGAGCAGACTTTCCCCTGCCAGGTATGTGGGCACCATGAGTTTTCCCCCTTCTCCATGTCTTCCCTGGTTCCAGCCCCCCAGTTTCCCACCTGGGAACATCAGAAGCAAGGACTGCCTGGGGCTCACTTGACTTTGGAGAATACGATGTCGACATCTGTCCCCGTCACGGCCTTTCCGTCAGCCACCTTGCAGTCCTTGCACAGCTTGGCCCAGTTCTTGCCATTCATCTCTTGCCCACTGGCCTTGGGGTCACCATGGATGGCAAATTTGCGGAAGCTTTCCTCCAGCCCAGCCACATCTGTGCTCGTTGCCATGCCACCCTGCAGGGGGAACCCACCTCAGTCACCTCGCAGCCAAGCTGCCCCTCCCCTCCCCAAGGCACAGAACATCACTGCCTCTACCTCAAAACCTACCAAGTTCTGAGTTATGGGCACTTATGCCATATACCCTCAAAACTGGAGATGGAGCTGCTTGGGGAGAGGGGCCAGCACTGTGTCCCTGGACCTGAGTCCCGAGAGGAAAGGTGCTGTCACTTAATGCCAGCCCTGGCTTAGAGTGGAGTTAAGAAGATGAAATCATGATGCCCACACCAGGCTGGGACAGAGTGGCACTGTCCAGAAAAACTGTGAGGTCAGCAGCTGGGGCCATGGCTTTGGCCCTGGCACAAGGCCTGCTTGGGTGGAAGTGAGGGTGGCAGGGCTGGCCCCCCTCCCTGGGAGTTCCATGCGAAGCTAGGTCAGGGCCTAGCTGTTGGGCAGGTATTTAGTGAGGACAGGGTCTCTGTCAGGGTCATCAGGACCCAGCAAGACCCAGCCCAGGCTGAGAAGGGAGCCAAAGCATGAGCAGGGGAGCATGCCTTAGGTAGGGGTGCAGCTGGCCCAGCCAGGACCTTGTTACTATTTGCTGTTAAACAAAAACATGAGGGGAGCAGGAGTTTGGGGCTGGCCTGGCCACAGTTTTTGAAGCCTGGAGACAGTCGCTAAGGAAGGGTAGTGCTACTTGGAGAATGTTGCTAAGGCCAGGATGGTGTCAGGGCGGCTGAGAGAGAAGCTCCCAGAGCGGCTGGGCTGGGCTAGGGAACTGGCGCCCACGGGTGCGGCACACCAGCACTCCCAGCGCCTGGGGCACAACCGTGGCCACCTGGCCCCTTGCCATCCATTGGCACTGTAACCTCCCAGTCTGTAGAGTTTAGGAAGAGCAGGTGATTTGGGGACTAGCATGGGTAGGGGTTGTAGAGTTATGAGCCCCCAGAGGCATGTTGGTGACTGGAACACTTCCCCAGTGTCTATACCTTCAGTGTTCCATGGAAGCCCCTGGCCACACCCTGACACCGTCACACCAGTCCCCCACCCCCACAGCTGAATGTACTCAGCCCTGGCTCTACATTCTCGGCCTTATACCCCTGACCACACCCTTAACCAGCCCTGGGACTGAGGGCCTGGACCATTACCTCAGCACCCACCCCCACATATCTACTAAGAGCTCTGTACAGAAACTCACCAATAATACCCTCAGCCCTGCACTAAAGTGTCCCTTCTACACCCTCACAGTCCCCCTGCAATCCCCTGACCACACCTACAGCCCTACACTGAAACTCCCTCCATGTAACACAGCCCAGTACTGAGGCCTCCTTGACCACACCTTCAGCCCTCTGCTGCAGCTGTCTCCATCCACACACACCCCAGTCCTGAGATGAGGACCCCCATCCACATACCCACGGCTCTTACTGAGCCCCCTAACCAGAGCTTCCCAACTCACCCCCTCTCTATCCACCTGTAGCCTCCGACCACATCCTCAGACCCACCCTTGTCCACATACCCACAGTTTTCTGGCCTCATGCTCAACCCTGCTCTGAAGCCCCCCAGGTGCCCACATCCGTAGACTTACACTTCCAGACTCCCAGGTACTACGCTGAGAGCCCCCATGTTAAGACTCCCTAAGCACACTCTGCATCTCCACTGCAGCCTCCTGACCACACCCTCAGTCATGTCCTCAGCAAACATCATCTACCTCTGTCTTTTATTCTAAGGCCTCCAGTGACCACAGCCTGGGCCCCTACAGAACTACACCCCCTTTACATTTACCACTGGCCTTAACATTGAAAACCCTCTCCCAGTGACCATCCTCACCCATACCTAAGTTGCAATTTCTGGTACTGGCGTCCCCACAGCCCCTACATTGTAATGACCCTGTCAGCCCACAATCCCAGTCCACACAGCACTCCCCTTCCCTCTCTCTACACTGCAACCTCCCACCAGGGATCCAGAGACCCGGCCCAAGGGTAAAGTCTGGGGGAGTTTGTGGGAAACAGATGCTTGTCCCAGGTGACTGGCAGGCTCCTGCCTCCAGTGCTCACTCTTGTCAGTGGGAAGGATTCTTGGTACTAATCAGGTGGAACCAGGTCTCAGGCCGCAGTCCCAGGAGTCTGCAGGCCAAGGATGCAGCAGCCACGCCCAAGAACTGGGGCCACCCGCTGGCTCCCACTGGGACAGCTGGAGTCATCAATCAGCCGGGCGAGGAGGTGGGGGAGGAACGCCTGGGGCCCAGGACAGGGCCGCTCAGTTGGCTCGGTACCATCTGGGGCTGGAACCCCTTCCAGGGCGCTCCCACCCCACCCTCTTCCTTATCATGCAGGATACGGATTAGGGTGGTCGGCGCCCGGGTCTCTTACCTGCTTCTACTTCGTGGCTGTTCCTGCAGTGCGTGTTCGATGGACAGAAGGACGCAAGAACGGACCGGCGGACGCGGGAGACCAGGCGGCTCCAAAGCTCTGCTCCCTGCCGGCTCCGGGGCGGGACTGCAGCCCGGGCGGTTCCGCCGTATTATCCCCTGTTTCTCGGTCTCCATAGAGACAGCGAGTCCCACCCCCAGGGCTGCCTCGGCGGGAGAATGACCAAGGTCACGCTGGCCCCACCCACAGGACCCCGCCCCCTCCGCGCTCCGCGGGGGCGGAGCTACTGCTAAAGCCTGATCCCGCAGCTCCCAGGGCAGCTCCGTGGCCTTCGCGCTGGGGGATACCGGCCCTCTGAAGCTCTGGACGTCCTCGGATGACCCCCTAATAGGAAAACAGCCCCATCCGGGGCTTCGCCCAAAGTTCAAAGCAGGCCCCCACCTCCACGGCAGAGATGAAGCTTTCCAGAGCCGCAACCGAAGGCCATTTGGGAGCTGGAGCAGACGGGGTGGGAGGGAGGTGGGGCGGGGGGAGTTGGGGCGGGGAGAAGTCCCTTCCCTCAGTGACAGTGGGGTCTAGAGCTGGCTCAAGACCACAGCTTTCCAATTAACGTTTGGCATCCCCAGGCCACAACTCGGGAGCACTGGGAGCAGGAGGGAACAATGAGCGCATCACGAGTGCCCAGTCCCAGAATCCTGGTACACCGACCGCCATCCCAACTGCAGGAAAAAGCTCCAGGACCTCTGGGGTCCGCGTACTCCTCTATTCCCATCCTACCCCGGTGTCGGCCTCGCAGTCTCTGCTCCTGCTGCTGCCTCCGGATCTCAAAGCCTGTTTTCCCTCTTCAAGTATAAACCCTATCTTCAAGAAAAACAATCTCCTCCAGGCAGCCTTCCAAGGACTTTTCACAACCAGAAGCCCTGTACCTGAGCGCCTTCGGTCCACGTGTACCTTTCCATATGACAATCTGGGTGGTGACTCAATGTACGAGCCCCTCCCACCCCACCCCTAGGCCGACTGACAGTGGTCCAGCTCCAGCACGGCCTGTGGCCCTTGCCATTAAGAAAGTCTGCACTAAGTCCGCAAAAGCATTAAAAAAAAAAAAAAAAAAAAAAAAAAAAAAAGTTTATTGGAGCATCATGGCCGGTGGGGCGGGTATTGCTGAGTCTTGGGGGAAGGGACCTGCCGACCGCAGGGGCTCCCAAAGTGCACTCGGTGCGGCGAGGGTGGGGGTGTTGCATAGAGAATCCGGCTGGCCGCTCCTCCTTGGCCCTCCTGCCTCTCCACCCGACTAAGCCAGGCCGGCCTCCGGGCCACCCCGCGCTCCGGGCTCGCCGCTGCTCAGGCTCACGAAAACCGCGGGTGCACGCACCTGCAGCGCCAGCCCGATCTCTCGGCCCCTGCCCCCTGGGGCAGCCAGAGCGGCGCTGCCCAGGCGCGTCTGGGCCACTGGAATCTCGTCCATGGACTCGGCTGACGCCGAGTGGTAGGCGCCTGCAGGCCCAGCGGCGTGCACTGGGCTGAGGCCCGCGGAGTCCGATGGCGAGCTGGAGCTGCGGCCTGGGGCCCAGGGCACTGCGGGGATGGAGGAAAATGTGAAACTGGGGGCTGTGACACTCTCGGGGCCCTACCTTTCCCTCAGAGCTCAGGATGCGGTCAGGAAGAGACACTCACCCGGCAGCCTGGGCAGCGGCGATTCAGGGTCCAAGGTCCCAGAGGTTGGCACCTTATACACACGCCGCTTCCTCTTTTTCTGCAGAGAGAGGGGAGAACCTGAGCGCCCCTTAGACCGCACATCGCCCAAAGAAGCAGAGGAGTGGGGCAGGGTAGAGGCTTCTTTCCATCCCCTTCCTCCTGGGCAAGGAGGCCAGCACAGTACCCCTTACCTGGGGTTGGATCCGGGGGGGCAGAGCCTGAGTCTCTGGGGAGGAGGGTGGTGGGGGTTCCACTTGGCCTCGGGTGGCAAAGAACTGGGAAAGACTGAGGGGGAAGTGGAAGGGTAATCGCTGGATGGCCATTGTTCCCTCAAATCCCACCCCGCTGGAGGCCCTGAAATAAGCCTCCCTTCCTAGTACATAGAAAGGGGCACTGATTTGTTCAAGGCTTTGCCAGGCTGGACCCAGACCTATATACTTTGGCCTTGGCCTACCCCCTTTCTCCCACCTTAGATGTCCCTGCCATGCCAATGAGAGATGTCCAGGTGGCACATGCCCAGGTTGCACTCACTTGGCATTCACTGTGGCAGGCCTGGCCTGGCCAGGGGGTTCTGGGCGCACGTGGCTGAAGGTCCGCATGTAGAACTCCATCTCCTGGGGAAGGTGGGGGTCAGGGAGGCTGGGGGGCCAGGTGTGGATCCAAGGCCTTCTGGGTCCTGAGCCTACTCCATCCTGTATACAGTACCCCATCCTATACAGAACACCCCCTTCTCACTGGTCTCTGTGCGAAGTCTGGGTGCAGAGGTCTATGACTGTCCTCCAAGCTTCCCAGCTATGCTGGGAAAATCTCTCTGTAGGCCAAGGCTTAAAACACCCATTTCTGGACCTTACCCCATCCCCACCATCTTCCTTACTTCATCTAGTCAAACTCCTCCAGGAAGCCCCTAGCCTCATAGGTCCAATGCACCCAGTCTGCTCTGGCCAAGGTGGGTGGTAGGGAAGAGGCTCTCAGAGCAACCCTCTCCTGGTTCCTCTCTTTTCGTAGGGTTGCAGTCTCTGAACTGATTTTTTCCCTGGTGGGAGACTGGCCAGCAGTTCATATGCCAGAGTGTGCGCCCAAGGCTGTATCACAGCATGACTGGACCGCAGCTGAGTCCTCAAGGTACCAGCCACAATCTTGGCTACCTGGGGGGGGGGGGGGGTGATGGGGGCTAGTGGGACAATGGGAGGTCTCCCCCACCTCAAAAGAGGAGGCAGTAGGAGGTAGGGAAAAAACACCTCCACAGCCCCATTTGGGATCAGGCTTGTAGGGAAGTTCTGTGTCTACTTTAGTCACTGATCCTCACAGCCACACTGGGAGTGGCAGACCCAACCCCTGAAAGCGCAGGGACCTGAGGTCAGGAGGTCACAGAAGTGGGCTGGGCTGCCACCCAGGACACAGGACGCCCATGAGGACTGCAGACCAGGAGACAAAAGCTAGGAAAAAGCCAACCCAGGTACAAAGGGTGTAGGGCAGAGCCAGGACAATGATGCCCTGCCCCCACTGGGTGGGGGAGGGCACCCGGACAGCTGTCGCATGCTGGGAAGTCGTTTCCATGGAGACCCAGGCGTCCTGACTAATGCAGAGATGACACTGTAACAGCAACGCTGTCTCTAAAACAAGCCTATGTTTGGGGCCAACGACTCCAGAGTGGGGCCCCTCCCGCATTCCTGCTCAGGGTGGGGGTGGGGAGTCTGCCTTCAGGGCCCTGGCAGATCTGGGGGACAGAGCCCAGCCGGCCCCAGGCTGGCTGCACAGATACGGAGACTGATGCCCAACCAATGCCCAAGCTAGCCCTCTGGAAAGTAGTGTGGGGGTGACAGCCTTAGCAGAGGAACACTGGAAAGGAAGGGATCAGAGGCCAGTCGTGAGAACTGGGACCTCAAGGTAATCTGCACCCCACATCTTTCCTCTTCCCCAGTGAGGACTCAGCACCCCTCCAGGGCCCAGCAGAAAGGGGCAAAGCCTACCCTAGTGCCCTGGGGCTCCAGAAGCGGGGTGGGGCAGGAGGGGTGGGAGAAGCACCACCAGAGGATGGTCCCAGAAGCCTGAGGGGCCGGGATGAGACAGGAGCCAGGCCCTAGCCAGCTGGAGAAGTCTGAGGGTACACCGGGGTTCCCCCACTCAAATCCCCCTGGGATCCTCCCCCAGAGACCTGCAAAATGTGCACATTTCTGCGCAGTAAATGGTACCTCTCGGCCTCAGCACTGTCCTCTCTGCAGTGGGACAAGCACACCCCCACCCCCCGCTGCCACCGGAAGCCTCCCTCAGGTCATGTGCAGATGATACTAACTGCCCTTGCTGCTTTTGCTGCCACACCTGACTCCAGAGCCTAGGCAGGCAGTGACTACAGGGCAGGGGCCAGGAGCCCTCTAGTCTACGCATCCTAGGGCCAGCCCTGCCTCAATGGATACTGACTATGAAGCTTGAGAAAGTCTCCTGCCTACATCTCTGAGGCTGTCTCCTCTGTGAAGTGGGGATAGAGAAGCTGCCCACTCCCAGGATGGCTGCCACTGCACTTACATGTGTTCTGTGCCAGGCACCAATCTCTGTACACGGTGGTGTGGCAGGGGGGCTGCCACCAAAAGTCAGCACTCCCCCAGGCCTCCCAGGCCTGGCAGCCTGGCCCGCCCCTGGCAATGACAACAGGAGAGGCGGGGTCCCAAGCCTTCTCCCAATCCGCCCACCAGCCTGTGTTTGTGTCTAGTTGCCATGAGGACTTGGGATCCAGAGTTCAGCCTTCCCAGCAAGGCCTGCCTGGGCCCCCTCCCTTCCCAGTCCCTGGGGGCTCCAAGAACTGGACCACCCCCACCCCCAGCTGCTGACCTCAGGAAGCCACGGGGCGTGGGAATGGGAATAGGCTGGTCAGTAGCTGGGCTGGAGGGTTCCTGCTTCAGAGTGTAAAGACTTTAACTCTTCCCAGACCCAGCTTGTTTACCCGTTCTGGGCCTCAATAGGCTCATCTGCAACATGGGTACAGTTACGTTACCTGCTTCACGGGCTCTTTTAAAGATTAAATAGGGTAATGGGTATAAGGGCTCAGGATCACGAGTAGAGAGAACTGATGGCTCCATCCTAGTGACCTATTCGCTGGTCCATCCCTCTCTCTTCTGCAGCCCCAACCTGCCCACTTTCAGGCTCCCACATTCCATGCCCTCCAGCACATGCTTGGAGCCTGGACAGGAATGTACCTGGGGTCAGGGAAACACAGGGCTCCCTTTGGCTGTGCCCACACTTGAGAAGCAGATACGTGCTTAGTATAGGCTTGGCCTTGCTCCTGTTGCCTCCAGCATCCCCTACTCCAGCTGCGGTTCCAGGCCTGCTTCCCTTTGCCCTGTCTCATCACTGCTACTTGCTACACAGCCAACCACTCCTCCCACACCCAGGCCCCATCACCCACCCCCTTAGCCGTCTGAGCCACTTCTATACCTGAATGGGCCGCATCTTGGGGGGACATGACTCGAGCTCCCTGTGGGCCCCCTTTGCCTCCTGTGGCAGGCGATGCTGCACGATGTACTCATAGGTGGTGAGCTTGTGCCACACTGAGGGGGTGAGGAGAGGGCTCAATGCAGTGGAAAGGGGATCCTAGAGTTCAGAAGGTAAGGGAGGGTACCTGCACCACCCTCAGCCCCAGCCTGAAACCACTGTCCCCAAATACACTAACCCATGAAATGAGACCAGGCCACCACAGAAAGCCAGTACTGAGAAGGAGCATGGTTTCAGGGTTCTACAGCACAGGGTTCTACCACCCACTGGTACCTCCCTGTGGCCTAAGGACCCCTATACCCTGCAAGGCAGGTGTAGCTGTATGAGTGTGTGTGTGTGTGTGTGTGTGTGTGTGTGTGTGTGTGTGTGTGTGTGTTGGGGCACGGATGGGGAGGGACTTACTGAGATAAATGTGGAAGCAGAACAGGTGGCCCAGCAGCGCTGTGGAAAGCAGGCCCAGAAGGATGAGTAGGGCGGCCAGGGCCAGGATGGCAGGAGCCTGTGTCTCCACAGGGGCAGCGGGCAGGAACACAAACCACACATCTGTGTGATTCTTCAGCACTGCAAGGCACAGGCAGACTGCTCATCTGGGTCTATGACCAGCGACCGGAACAGGCCCAGAGTTGGAGGGTGGGAGTGGGCCTGGAGCTGGAACTGACCTTCAAAGTGGTGATTGGTGCGCAGCCGCATGGGGTTGACAAAGAACTCCACAAAGACATAAGTGGCCACCAGCACGAGGAGCAGGACACCCAGTAAGGCAGATGCCACACTGTGTAGAAAGAGCCTGGGCCCGGCCGTGGGCAGCTATCAGCACCCAGGTGCTCCAGCTGGGTAAGGGCCCAGAACTCAGAAGGGCCGGTGGATGGGATGGGGACCCAGGCCTCTGACCCCACAGCCCAAACTCTTCATGCAGTCAATGGCTTGGGCAAAGATTAATCTGGGCGGCCGCCCCAGCAGGAATAAGACCCCAAACCTGCCCTCAGCAGTCCTGAGCAGCAGCCATCAGGAGCACCACCCTCAGACCAGCACGCGCTAATGCACACCAGTGCCGGGCCCTCTAAGCACCCCAGCCCCGCCCCGCCCCGCCCCATAGGCAGCCTCAGGATCCCTGGCTCCCCCTCACACCCATGCATCCCTAGGCAAACGTGCGGCCCGTGTCCAGCTCTCACCGGTAGTTCCTCTCGCCCACGCAGTTGTTGAGCCACTTGCAGTGGTGGTCAAAACCGCACACGCACTTGTTGCAGGCGCTGCAGTGCTTGGAGCGAGCGCTCCTGCAGGAAGGGGTGGAAGGGGCACAACACGCTTGGTTTAGCTTTTCCCGCACTTCCCCGTGGGCCGCTCGCAGGGCAGCGGAGACGGCGGCGGAGGGACCAGTGCCCCGGATGCCGCACCTGTAGCGGGTTACCCACCAAGCCCTCGGCTCCACGGCGGAGCGCGGCGACGGGGAGCGCGCACGCCCTCTGGCGGCACTGCAAAGCAGAGCACCCACAGAAGGCCTCGCTTCTGAAGGGCCAGGGGACTCGGAAGCAGGAAGGAGGGGTTGGGAGGCGTTACACTTTCCCACTCTAGGATTGCGCACCTGCATGACGGTGGTATGAAACGGAAATGGGGCTTCCTCTCCAGGTAACGACCCCTGCGCCGCGCCAGGAGACGATGCAGGCGTGCGACCAGGGAGCAGAAGAGAGCAAGGCTGCTGGGTCTAGGGCCTGCATTGGTTTCTCGGACATCTCCATTTTTTGAGTCCCTGTTTCCCTGCCAGTCTATGGGAATTTTACTGGCATTCTTTCAGAAAACCTCAGTCTGTCTGGGCTACCCAAAGGGAGCCAAAGGAAGAGGAGCAAGCTGACATCTAGGTGAGCAGTTTGCTGCAGGGGGTCTGATGAGGTGAAGCCACATTAGGAATGCGGGTGGAGTGAGCTGCAACCCCTTCCCCCAGAAGAGAACAGAATGGGTAGCCACTGCCACAGCATCAACTAAAGAACAATGCACTGACCGGTGCCTAGCGAAAGAAAGGATGATCTGACACCAAACTCCTCAGTGCCTTGTTGGCTCTTACTCTGTCCTGTGGACACACCCTCTTCAACAGGCTGCTAGATCACAAGATAAGAAATGTGGAGCTAGCCTTGGACCATACCCCCACCCCCAATCCCCTGCCTGAGGCTGGAAGCTCCAGGAAGGGAGAGAGGGGCCTAGGGAGGCAGTCCCTAACAGCCAAGGGGGTATGAGCTCTGCACATTCTGACTGCCCTTCCCACTAGCAGTGTGATCTGGAGGAAGTCACTTGGCCTCTCTGGGCCTCAGATTCCTCATGCGTAACTGAGGATAACAGTATGGGCTTGGGGGCCAGGCAGGCTGGATTGTGAATCTGGCTCTGCTACCCAATAGCCATATGCAGGCCTCTCTCAGTCTTTTGCAGCATTGGGCTCTTCCTCTTCTGTGAGGTGACAAAGATGCTGCCTACCCTGCAGGGTTGTTCATAAGCACTTAGCACATAATAAGTACTCAAGCATTAATTCTCCTCCCTGCCCCTCTCTGGGAATGCTTGTGAGAAATGGGGGGGGGAGGGTAACAGAAATAGTCATTAGAAAAGTGTGTGGCAGTGCCAAATGTTTCCTACTTTAACTGTTGGAAATGCCATTCTTCATCTTCTGTTTCCAATCTCCTTGTCCTTCACCCAATTCTCTGTCACTCCATCAAGATTCTTGACTGTGTAAAACACGAGGGTTCTGCGGCATCAGGATAACTCTAAAGCCCTGGGCAGGCGCCTCTCTCCCTGGAGCGCCCACTGGCAGTTTCCCAGGGCACACTCGGCACCCACACACACCCTCAGCCCACACTCACTCACACATCTACGTCACACAGGTTGCAGTGCAGATCTTCAATGACGTGTGCGTGTTGGCTGCGGTTGAAGATGGGCAGGGGCCCTGCATAGCTCTTGTCCCGCACGTTGGCATCTGCTGGATCGATGGAGACAGCAGTCAGGTGAACCACGAGGTGGCCGGCAAAGATGGCGCCCATGCACTGGCCCAGCAGGTTAAAGACTCACTCTGCACTCTGCCGGCTGGAAGCCCCCCTCCCCAACTTTATGGAGCCCAACAACAGCTGGCTACCTCCATGTGACTCCCTCATGCAGAGACTCCGAGTGTGCACCTCCTACCTCCAGTCCCACAAGAGCTTCCTTGTCAGACCGCTTCAGCATACCCATGCCCCAGATGGAAGAGAGGAGCCATCTGGTAACAAAGCTCACAAGCCACTGCCTACTGCCGCTGGGGGGCCCAACCACAGGGCTCTGGCCTCACTCCTCCAGGACTGGCACAGGTGCTGGCTGGTCTGACCTCAGAATCCAGATGATCTGGTTTCAGATTCTAAATGATGAAGTGAGACTGAGGAGATTATCCTCTAAGGCCAAGGGACCCAAAATATAAGTTCTAAGTTTGTTTCTCTTGCCTTCATAGGAAGTCAGCTCTGAGTAGGAAGCAGCCATCCTTTCTCAGCAGCTGGGCCAGATGGAGAATCACTTGTAGACAGCGTCTCATACACCCACCACCTCCCCGACTGGAGTCCAGCTACTTGGAGCCCTAGGGCTCAGGGTTCTGAGGTGACTTGGCATATTCAGGGCCTGGCCAGGGGCAGCATGGCTAATTCTGGAGCTGAAACACAGATCTTCTAGGACCTATCTGCTCAATGACTAGACCAAATGCTGGGGATAAGCATGCTGACAACTTGCTGCAAAGTCTAAATTAGTAAAAATTCACCAAGAGACTCTACCGAGGCAGCCATCCGCCATCTATCCATCTATCCACCCATCCATCCATCCTCTTCCTAACCAGGCAGACATCATCCTTCCATCATTCATCCTCCATCCATTAGCTGCCCAACCTCGTTTTTCCTTCTTCCTCCTCCTCCCAGCGGCCAAACTTCCATACATGTCTGCATGAGCAAGGCTCTGCCCTAAGGTGCTGTACCACAGCGGAATGCGAGTCCCATAGCCCATCACAACCTCTCTGTCCCTACAGCCCTGGCTGTAGGTCAGGCCTTCACCCCTTTCCTGGGTTATTCCCTAGTCTCCTAACTGTTCCTCCTGTCTGCGCGCCCTTGAGCCTGTCCTTCACTTGGTCCCGAAGTGAGCTTCGCATAGCTTAAACCTAAAACCTTGTCTGCTTCAATTTCTACAGTGGCTCTCAAACTAGTCTACTATTCAGTTCAGTGCCAAGGGCCCTTCTGCTCCAGCTCCACAGCTCCTGTCAAAACTGCCTGGTATCAGCAACCACTACTCCTCACCATTCCAGCCTCTCTTCAGACACACTGAATATTTAGCAAACATTTAGCTTCCGGCCTGCCTAACACTTCTTCCCCTCCCCACCCCTTGGTTCATTCACTCAACTGTTCACTGAGGTCTTTCTCTACACCAGGCCCTACAGGCAATGGCAGGAGCAAGACAGACTTGGTCCCTCACCCCAAGGAGCCTGCAGTCTGGTGGGAAACACCTATGTTAATCACATAATGGGTTGATTACAAAGAAGGAAGTTCATGGGACTAAGTGAGTAACTGCATGGCCTCATCTAGTCTGATGGGATTCAGAAGGCTGCCCTGAGGAAGTATCATCTCACCTGAGACTTGGAGAGGAAGACAATAGGCACCTGGTATAAAATCGACAGGAGGGTCTTGGCTGGGTACTAGGAGCAAACAGAGTCCTAGCCAGAGGGGTGGCTAATGGACGGTTCCAGCTCAGCTCATTGCTGCCATGCAGGAATGAGGGCACATGTCACCAAATTGTGGCTTTTCAAAGGGAACCAGAAATCTGGATTTTTATGTGAAGTCTCATTTTTTAAATACTGACAATAAATAATTTTTAAAACAAACACACCTGCCAGGGGCACCTGGGTGGCTCAGTCAGTTAAGTGTCTGACTTCGGCTCAGGTCATGATCTCAGGGTCCTGGAATTGAGCCCCATGTAGGGCTCTGTGCTCAGCAGGGAGTCTGCTTGTCCCTCTCCCTCTGCCCCTCCCCCAACTTATGCATGAGCTAAAAACACACACCTGCCAAAGGAACACTTAAGACTGTCCTTTTTTGTGTGTTAATTTTCCCCCAATTAAAAAAGAAAATCTCACCTAAAAAAAAATAAAATCTGAGAGCGCCTGGCTGGCTGAGTTGGTAGAGCATGCAACACTTGATCTTGGGATCGTGAATTCAAGCTGCACAAGGGGCATAGAGACTACTTAAAAAAAAAAGAAAAAAGAAAAAAGGGGCACCTGGGTGGCTCAGTCGTTAAGCGTCTGCCTTCGGCTCAGGTCATGGTCCCAGGGTCCTGGGATCTAGCTCCTCACTCAGCGGGGAGCCTGCTTCTCCCTCTCCCACTCCCCCTGCTTGTGTTCCCTCTCTCACTGTCTCTCTCTCTCTCTGTCAAATAAATAAATAAAATCTTTTAAAAAAAAGAAAAAAAGAAAAGATCTGTAGGCCAAACAGGCCCATGGGCTGCTAGTTCTGGACTCCTGCCTTAGCTGGTTGTTGGGATAGAGTCAAAAGCCTTCCAGCCAGAGACCAGTGGTGTCACAACAGAGAACACCAGAGGAGAGAACATAAGAGGCAGGGGAAATGGGCAGAACCCAGAGAGCCCTGAGGATCTTCAAAGTCATTCCTTAAGTCAGGAAGAAGCCATCACGGGATGTTAAGCTGGGGAGCAACTTCGGATTTTGAAAGAGCGCTCAGCTGCAGGGACACAGACGGACATAGATGGACTGGCCCAAGTGAGTGTGTCTGTGGGGAGACCTGTCTGGAAACGAAACGGTCATGGGCCAGAGGGGCAGACGGCAGTGGGGAGGAATGAGGGCAAGTTTGATAGCTACTTAGGAGGTAACATCAACAGGACTTGCTGACTGACTGGATACAGGTGATGAAGGAAAGGGGCCGAGCCAAGGGTACCTGGAGAAACAGCCGCAGAGAAGGCCGGGTGCGCGTCAGGTGTGCATCTGGGCTCATGGCGACGCGGGTCTACATGGCCCTCCTCCACCCATAATCTGCTGTAAGGCTCCCACCCTCATACCTACCATGTGACCTTCTCCAAGCTACAAGGCTTTCCTGCAGCGGGAGGCTAAGCACCCAGGGCGGGGGCCCTGTCTTACTTCCAGGCCCGAGGTGGGCATGTGGTACACACCATTAGCCTACCTCATTCCTCAGGGGCCCTGAGGAAACCTGCAGAAGAAAGGTCGTTTTGATGGAAGGAAGAAGAGGCGTCCAGGCCTAGAAGTGGGAGTGCGGATCTGGGTGGCTCTGTGAGCCTCCACACCACCCAAAGCAATGAATGTGGAGAGGACAAAACGCTTACACCGTCCCACTGCCTCATGGTCAGCTTGCCTGAGCAGCTCGTCTGGCCTCAGTTGATATCAGCTGTGTGACCTCAGGAGGTCAATCTCTCCTAGCACCAATTTCTCCACTAGTAAAGTGGGGAGAACACCTTCCTTACAGAGTATTATGAGGATCGAATGACATAGTCCATGTACAGGGGATGGCACCGTGCCTGGTACATATATGTGCTCAATAAATGCTGTTATCTTGTTTACTGTTATTTGCCCTAACTGTACTTATTCCCACCATGTGGTTATTAACCTGGTTTCCCAGGTATCCTGGTGGCAGAAACCCAGGTAATCCTGCTGAGGGGTATGCCCATCCCAAATCACGGGAGGAATGTTTCATGAAGCGTTCTACTTAAGAGCACTGACTAAGGCCTGTTAGTCACCTCAGGGAAAGTCCAGTTTTCCATTTACAGAGCTGATGAGGAGGCCCTGGGCCCTAGCGGACCAGGAAGCCCTCCAGTGACGTTGCTCGTGTTTGAGGACAAGAACCTTCTCTAGAGTCCTTCTCCACACACCTGTCCTTGTCACTCACCAGTTTCCTGAGACAGCACGCTTACACTTCTAGCTCACACATTCTGGTGCTCACACACACACCCTTGCATGTTCCTTGTCCTCTGGGAAGCCGGCAGCACTCCTCCTGTCAGAGGAGGCCGAGAACCAGAAAGCTGGCAAAAGCTGCTCAGCCTGGTACAGCCCCGACAGGGCTGAGCTATGGCCCAAGCTCAGCTGCTGACTCTATGCCCAAAGCTTTCAAGTTCATCTCTGTGAACCTCCTTTAGCTCACTCTAGCCTTCCTCCCCCAAGAAGCCCAAGAAATCATTTTCATGAAGCACACATACCAGGGCAACACTCTCCTGGGCACCCTCTGGACAGGGGCACATGGCCACCTGCTGCTCCCCAATCTGCCAGCCTTGTAGCCATGTCCCCTGCTCCTGGGAGCTGTGGCCCAGGCTAGGGCAGTCACACCGCCAGGCTCATGCAAGTTTGTGTTTGTCACTGTTCCCAGGAGCCTCCAGGGTATCTTTATCCCTCCTCTTGTCAATTCAACCTCACCCTAAGAGTGTGATTTACAAAACCAATGAGCTCCTAAACAGTCCCGGGTACAGGATAATTATCTGATCGTACATAAAACCACATTTTAAATATACCAGGAAACTTAGTATGTAAAAGAATTCTACCATGAGTCTTTTTGAAAAGTGAAAAAGGTCTTTTGTAAATGGAATAATTAGGGGCGCCTGGGTGACTCAGTTGTTAAGGATCTACCTTCGACTCGGGTTGTGATCCCGGGGTCCCGGGATCGAGCCCCGCATGGGGCTCCCTGCTCCGCGGGAAGCCTGCGTCTCCCTCTCCCACTCCCCCTGCTTGTGTTCCCTCTCTCGCTGTGTCTCTCTCTGTCAAATAAATAGATAAAATCTTTTAAAAATAGTAATAATAAGTGGAATAATTACTCCTTAACTTATCCCCTGTCGAGCTCTGGACATAATTAGCTTTAAGGCTTTCTTCTGTGATCACCCTTGTGGTACCTCAGGTAATGAGGTTCCCAGCTGTGTGGGCTCTAAATGCTCCAAGGTACATTAGGTCCATCTGCTCGCCCCATCAGGCAGAGAGGTCAAAATAGGGGCTGGAAGCCAGGCCAGCCGCTGGTCCTCCTGGGTAGAGACGGGGCCTGCCTGCCCTCTCTGAGGCTCCAGAGCACAGCCTCAGGCCCCTGCCATGTCCCTGTCCACTGCCCCAGGCCTTCCATGTACTACCCATACTTTCCCAAGGATACAGCATAGCCAGCGGGCACCCAGTGGTGAGGCAGGAGGGGAACAAGGACCCCAAAGCCAATGACAGCAAAGAAGAGGTACAGCAGCCAAGCCACAATCTGGAGAGGGTGAGGGGGCCAGCTCCACCCATTCCGGCGCGACCGCTGGCCCTGCAGCTCGGGGGACGGTCTGCGGGCCTGTGCAGGCGCTGTCCACACACTCTTCTCAGGGGCTGTCTTGTTGGAAGGCTTGTTGCAGATGTTCATCTCCAGAGGAAGAAAAAGTAGAGAGAGCATTAGCCTGAGGAGGCCCGGGCTGGAGCCCAGAACCCCATGCCTACAGCCAGGTTCCAGCAGGGGGGAGCAGGCTGGGACGTGAGGCCATCTCCCAGCTGCTCTGCAGGAGGACCAGCGCCCTACCATGGCCAAGACAGCCCATGGGGGAGGGTGGTAGTGGAGCGCTCTTCTCGAAGCCCCCAAGCCAGCTCTAGCCCCAGCCCCCACCAGGACAAGGTAGGAGGGGCCAGGGTTTATTCAGGACACAGTGTGGCTGCCTGTTACTCGAAGTGCTCTGTCTCCACAGCCATCAGAGTTAAACCCAGTAAGACATGTTCTCATCTGGTAACAATATCAGGCTGAGGCCAGAGCATTGAGAACACATGCTGATTCTGTTAGTCACCTCCGTCCTGAGGCCCAAATGCAAGTGTCAGAGAGGGGCCCCTTACTCTTTGCGAGGGGAAACAGGGAGTAGGGGTGCTCAGAAGGGGGTCTGGCCTCTGTCCCTGGGCCAGCACATAATCCCTTTAGGACAGGGGCCACTGGGAGACCGTAAACGATCTCCCCTGTGCCTCAGAAGGGCTGCCTGAGACTTCTTGGCTGGGGAGGAGCCAGCATGCAACAGAGAAGGGAGGATCCCTCCTTGCTTCCCTCCAGCCCCAGAAACGACCGTGTTTCTCCAGGTAAATTTGAGCCCGGTGCCCTGGGAACAGAAAGGTGGGCTGATGCTCTTTGACTCACTTGAGATCTCCGAGAAGGCCGGGCCTCCTCCAGAGGCCAACCACCAGGTGGCAGCACTCGCCCAGCCCCCACCCCACCATCCTTCAGTCTGAGACCTGGCCTGGCGGCCAAAATTACAAGCAAGGCAGGCAGGGCGTGCTGTCATTCCAGAAGGAAGAGCCCCACCCACAGTATCTTCTGGGCCTCAGGCGGGACTAGAGCCTGGGCAGGCAGCGCCACAACTGGGGAGAACTCATGGTGGGAAGGCCGAGAGCAGGGGACAAAACCCAGGCAGCTGGACTCTCCTTTCGGGAGCCCATGCCCGTGGGCCCAGGAGTCTGACGATGCCAGAAAGTACGGCAGACCCCCTCAGCACATCTGCCACGAACATCTGCCTCACTTCTCAGCCCAAGAAAATGTGACTTGACCTTCAGAGCCCAGTCTAAGAGTCCAGGAAGCTGTACCTGACGCCCCAAACAGAGTCAGGGGGCTCTCGTGCTTAGTCTTTATTGGGCAAGTCACTTTGCCGCTCAGAACCCTGTGTCCTCCTCATGTCTGCCCCGTTACGCCAGTTTCTCCTAAGGGTAGCAACAATACTGTGATTCATTCACCCCCGTTCCCCACATCCCCTCCCCCAAGCAGCCACAACATACCTTGTACCTAGTAGATGCTCAGTAAATGTTTGCTGACTTGAAAACATCTGAAATAAAGGGAGATGTGGGTGCAGTAAATGATGTGGAATCCCGGTCCACCCAAAGCCATCTGGCCCACTCCGCACAGCCACCATGCAGACATACCTCCTGCCCCAGCGCCCCCCGGCTGCTGGCTCTTCCCCCGACTGCCGGACAGTCGCACTTTGCCACTGCCCTTCATCCCGCCCAAGGCTCAGAGCCTCCGGCGAGTCAAGTCTGGCATATTCACCTGAGTAGCCTCATCTCTAAGCTAAATGGAATGACCTTAGTTTTCTCTCAGGGACTCAAGTGGAATCCCTTGACCATTTGCTTTGTCTTCAATAAGAAACAGTGAAAGATGAATAAAGAGCCCCAGCTTTGGAGGAAACAGATTAAGGTTCAAGTCCTGGCACTTACCAGCTAGTGGTCTGAGTTTCTTCATCTGAAAAACCGGGGGTAGGGATGGCTACCCGGGGTGTGCATAGATCAGCGACCCTGTAAGTAAGGCCCTGACACATAAATGCTCCCTAAATGACAGATATTGTAATTACCCTGAAAATAACCCTCTGGCTAGTCCCCATCTCTCCAAAGGGAGGCTGCTGCATCTGAAACTCTAATTTTCAAAGTGATGGCGGGGGGGAGGGTGAAGCTGTTTTCTTAAACCAGGGGTCCCAAGGCACATGTTGCCATGAGAGCTGGGCCTCTGGATGGGCATTGTAACCATCTCACCTTTGATCAAAAAATGGACAAAGGTGATTGAAAAAAGAAAAAAAAAAAAGCTGGCACCGCTTCATTTTCAATGTCCCCAGACGTAGCAAATCTGTCTTTGATTTCTGGAAACAGTCAAAGGTCATCAGGTGAAGCCCTGTGAACAGCCGAGCTGGGGGACTCTGCTCAGGGGCAAATCCCTGTGGCTTGCACCTCAGTTCTCCAGTGACACCATCACCAGGGTAACTACTTGGAAGAGAACCCATGAATTGGGAGCCCTAAGTTCCAGCTTTCCTTTTGCCATCTTCACACCTCTGCAGCCCTACACCTTGAGGAAGTTTCTAAAGAAAGAAGAAGAGGCACATGGGTGACATGTCCTCGCTGCCTGGAGTGGGCTGGCAGTGGCCACAGGCCCCCCCCCCACCCCATGCTGCTGCCTCCCTGATTACCTGAAGCGGGAGGAGTCACCATCTGAGGCTTTGGGGGTGGCTCTGACTCCAAACCTGGAGGGAGGTGGCCCAGGGACGTGTTGCTCATATGAGACTGTGGGCAAGGGGATGGGGCTACCGGGCCTAAAGCCCTTGCGGCAGGGGCGGCACTCCAGAGCGGACACCCAAGCTGGCTTGCCACCTGCCCTGAAAACCTGGGCCGGCCAGCTCTTAACTGATGGCATATTCCCCTGTGGGGCTGGTGGCTACAAATTCTTTTGGCCCAAAAGACTTTGATTAAAAGGGCTGAGGAGTAGGAGAGAATCCAGGATGGGGCCTCTCAAGCAGGGATGGGACCAAGCACTGTCACCAGACCCAGGAACTTCTCTGCCTGTCCCTCCCTTTCAGCACTTCTCTAGGAGACCAGACTGAAAGATGCATGGCTCTGCTCCCGGACAACTTGGCCAGAGCACTGCACTCACATTGGCCCAGGCAGCACTGTGGGGGCCCAGCCCCCTGAGTGCGCTGAAGATGTAAACACAGATGAGACCAGGCTCCTGCTTTCTGGGGGCCCAGACAGACATGAGGGTAGTGGTCATGGGTGGGTGGAGGGTGGGTGAATGGGTCCCACAAGGGCCAGCCATTCAGTGTGACAGAACACAGGGTGCACGGCAGGGCGGGGGTGTGTGTGCAGGGGGCAGATCCAGAGAGAGAGTTGAGCCCTGAGGAACTGCAGGATCAGATCCCATGGGGCCTAGGAGGCCAGGAAAGAAAGCTTGGGTACTACTGAAGAGCCACCAGGAGTCACAGGAAGTTTAAAGCAGGGTAATGATACAAAGGTGGTGGGTGTTCTACAAAGCTTTCTAGTCACAGTGGGGAAGAGGGCATGAGCAAGAGGGGAAAGGGTAGGCCAGGGAAGGCCACAGCCCAGCAGCCTTGTGCTTTGGGAGGAACTGGTCAGGAGATGGAGGTCAAACCCACAAGGTCCCTAAATGCCCCCAGCTGCATCTCTGAGAGGTGTATGAGCCTTGGTGAAAGATTTTTCATGTACTTTCTGCTGCCACAGAACAAGCCACAGAGTTAAACTGGGGGAGATGGAGGAAAGACAAGAGGGAAGAAGCCCCATGGAGTGTTACGGCCAAAGGTCACCACCACGTTGGTAAGCCAAGGACCCACCTGGCTTCTGAGATGGGCTGGAGGGGCTGTACAGGCCCTTCCCTTGTCCCAGTAAGGTGAAGGTCATTGCCAGGATGACAGTAGTCTCTTCCTGTTAACACTCACTTGCTAAAACTCTAAAATTGCATTTTCAAAAGAAAGTTAGGTGACCTTAATTTATATGCCTGATTTAAATGAGGGAACTCTTAACATTTCAAGTTCTCATTATGAACTGTAGAATAGTTACATGACTGATCCACTTCCCTCTTGCCCACCTCTGCTCTCACAAAAAAAAAAAAAAAATTGGGGAATGCTGTTCTGAGATTCATGAATTGCACTGTCAAAACCACCAGACTGAGGTAAAAAGTACCAGCCCTGGAGAGGCTACGGGCATCCCTGCATTCCTGCAAGAGGTCTGAGAATGTCAGAAAAGAATCAACTTAATTACTAAAGAGGGCTTGTAGGCGGAGGCCACTGAACTGGGAGGGTAGAGCGATAGGGTCAGAGGAGAAGAGACAGGGCTGTTGAGGGGGACTGAGGGCCTGGGAACCTGAGCCACTGCCGGAGAGAGGCAGGTTGGAGCTAGGCAAAAGGGCTAGGCCTAGAGACACAGCCCGGTTCTGGTTCCTGCCCTGCCACTCACAGATTGGGTAACCCGGAGGCGAATTTCAGAGCCATCTATTTGGGTATCTCCTTTACTTAGCTTTCAAAAAAGTTAGCTGCGGGGGGGGCAGGCACCTGCCTGGCTCAGTCAATACAGCATGCAAACAACTCTTGATCTGAGGTTTTTGAGTTCAAGCCTCGTGTTGGGTGTAGAGCTCACTTACCGAAAAAAAAAAAAAAAAGTTAGCTGGAAGGCAATTTGGCAATGTCTACCCAACTTTAGAACACATATACCCTTGGGCCCAGTCATTCCATTTCTAGATATTTATCTTATACATATGGTCACAAAGTACACAAAGGTTCACTGCAGTCTTGTTTGTAATAATAAAGGACAAAAAACAATGTAAACCAACGGTGGCACATCCACACAATGAAAGGCTGTATAACATCAAAACAGGGAGGGATGGAATGACCTCTGATACACAGTGAAGTGGAAAACAAGACGTGGGCCAGTTAGTTGTAGAGTGTGCTACCAAGTGAGTGAAAACAAAGGGGGATGGATAGACGTTTAAGTTTCTATTCGCGCAGATTCTCTCTGGAAAGAAATACAAGAAGGCAAACGCAGGGGCAGCCAGCCTCTGGGAAGGAGCGTTAGTGGATGGTGTGAGAGAGATTTGCTTTGTGTACCGTTTGAAATTTTTTTTACCACGTGCATTTAAGGCTTTTGTAAAAAGAATTATGTCAGATAAATAATTGAGGGGTGTCATCTGTTACCCTCCTGGCCCCACTGGGCTGCCATGCAGACCAAATGCGCTTGTGGGCTCCGGAGCCCTGTACCACGCCTGACAAACAAGGAAATCCCACCTAACGACCGTGCAAAAAGAGTGCCCGGTTTTAGTTCAGTGCTTTCTCACTCTCGAAAGCAATTCTGAATGGTTCATCTACAAAGCTGTGAGGAAGAACCATAGGGCTCCCTGTGAGTTGTTGGGTGTCTTGTCAAAGCTGGAACCAGACCACCAGGCAGCACAACAGAGGAGTTGCTGGGCAGGACCTTGGTCCAGTCCTCAGCCAAAGGCCAGCTCAGCTTTCCATGGCTCCAGAACCCAAAGGGAAGGTGCACACCACAGGATGGTTTTGCTCATAACCATCTTTTCTTTTTGCTAAGAAAAGCCAGAGGATTTATGGTTGCCACCTGAATGATTTTCCATGGATACTTCTAACCAAATTTTCAGGTTTCTTCCCTGGATCTGCTTTTAAAATAATTTTCACTAAGATTTAACAGATGCCCAATTTAAACCTAAACAGGAGCTGGAAAAAAATGCTACATGGTGCATACTGTTTTACAATGTGAAAAGTCATTTATAACAGAAGTTTTGGGGCAAATACTTTATTAAAATTCCCCACAGGTGCCAGAGAAGTCTCTGGCCTTAAAATTCTGGGAAGTGGCTCTAGTTTGACTAAAAGATGCACATCACCACAATGCCCAGAAAATAAACTGGAACTTCAAGCTGTTCTCATAGTCCTCTCCAGTCACTGGTCTCAGATGCAGCTGGGCTCCTCACACAAACAACATGCAGAAGTTTGATGCTAGAGCAAGAAAAGCCTGAAACCCCAATCATGCCGGAGTTGACACGGTCCAAAAACATTTTCTGTGCCATTCTCCTCCTGAAGCAACCACTGCAAACTGTTTGGGATTCAAGTGTAGCCAGGGAAAGGGGACAAGAAGTGGGGGGAGCAACATGGAATGAAAGCAAGACCAATGAGAGGAGCCAAGGGTTGTTGATTTTAACCAGGAAATCAACTCACATGATTGTAGGAGCAAGCCCTAAGGAACACCCACCAAGAAACAGTCGTTAAGAACAAAGTTGTGACAAAACAAAGTAAGAAAAACAAAAGGGGGGAAAAAAACTGGCTAATTAAGCACCAATGTTGCTTTTATTGCAGGTCATGGTGATTATCTGTTTACAAACCCATCTCCCACAGTCAACCACCAGTTCCACAAAAGCAGAGACCACCCTTCACCTATCTCTAAATCCAACTCTCCTTCAATAAGAAAAATTAAGGCATTTCTTACCATCTATGCTGCCATCACCCTAATCCAAGCCTCCATCATTGGTCCCCTACATCGTTTCAGTGACAATGGTCATCACTAGCATTTAGAGGATGCTTTTTCTGTGCGGGGCACTGCTTTAAGTGCTTTGACAGAATTCACTTATAAACCCTCACAACTCTCTGAGGTAGGTCCTAGCATTTCAAACTGGTCTCCTCCGTCATTGGTCTCCATGGGCTGGTCTCTCACTTTCTCTCTCTCAAACAACATGTGGAACAACATCCCCCTTTCACAGATGAAGACACTGGGTTTCAGAGGGGCTAACTTCTTCCAGGAGACACAGCTAGACTGGCAGAATTAGGATGGCCCTCGACTACCTCACTGGTGTGCAGCCTACAGCCGCCGGAGCTAGGTGAGCTTTTCAAAATGTCAAACTCCTCACAGCTTTTCAAGGGTTTCCTCCTCTTGCTGCGACGCAGTTGAAACCCCATTACGCACTTCAAGGCTCCCCTCCCACTTTCTGTTCCTTAATAGTACTTGCTGTCTCCGGACCTTTGCATTTGCTTTTCCCTCTTCCAGAAACACCCTTACCCTACTTACCATGCTGGTTTCTTTTCAACCTTCAGGTCTTAGCTTCAAAGTCACGTTTTACAGCAGACCCTGCCTGACCACCACCCCCGCCCCCTCCATTACATCACCAGAGCACTTATCTCGACCTAAAATCACTTTAGTCTTCTATCTGGCGCCAGCAACCCCCCCCCCCTTAATACTCTGTGGGTTCTGGAGATCGCGCCGTTTCTTGGAGTCCTCCGTGGCCCCGCGCCTGGCACACAGGAGGCGCTCAACGCAGATACGTGAACCTGATGAATGCTAGAAGGAAGCCCCGCGCTCTGCCGGGTGCCTGGAGCCCAGGCCGCGGGCTCCAGGCCGAGGTGAGCGCAGAACACGGCCGAGCGGCGGGCAGCCACAGCCACAGCCACAACCCCGTGGCTCAGGCCAGGCTTCCAGGTGAGGACCGCGATGGGGGCTCCTCACCTGCGCGTCGCGGCGACCAAGCCAGATCGGCCCTGCCAAGGTCACCCAGTGGTTCAGCCCCCGCGCCTGGCCGTCCACCCTCCAGGGCGGCAGCACTTCAGACCCTCGCAGCGGAGATGATCCCCGGGACCAGGCGGCGGCGCAGCCCGGAGCGGGGCCCCATCCCGGGCCGCGCGACGGAGGCCGGGCCGGCAAGTCCTCGGGATCCTGCTGGGAGCCGGCTGGCGGTACGGCCCGGCCAGGCCGAGGCGGGCTAGAACTCTTCAGGCGCTGGGCCCGTTCCCCTGGCAACCGCGCGGGCTACGGCGCCCCACAGCGGCCAAACCGCGCTGCGTCACTTCGCCCGGGCATCGAGGCTCAGGGCGGGGCTCACCAGGGACCCCCGGAACCCCGGCCGACCCCTTCCAACTTTTCTCCTCGAAAACCCACTCCCCCCACCTCACTCCACAGCTGTCTTCTCGAAATCCTAACTTGTCCCAAACGCGACCCCCTTCAGTTTCTCCCAAGACCACCACCCTCAGGGAGACCCCCTGTCGGCCTGCACACTTTATGAGTATGTGCTGGGCACTGGACATTCCGTGGGGAACGCTCACGAGATCCCTGCCCCTCAGGGAGATTACAGGCTAAGGGAAAGACAGATACACACAAATACCCAAATAAATAGGCAGGTTTCCCCATAATATAAAGTGTGAAGTGTAAGAGCAAAATACATAGCACAAAATTATCTCCTTTTTAGATTTCCTTTAAATCAAGTATAAATCCTACTGGGAGCCCCCATCCTCCAGGCTGGTAGGAAATTCAGCCTTGGTCTCCACTGGGCTCCTCTTACCCAGGTTATTCCAAGGACTCAGGATCTCCTACAGCAGCAATCTGAGAAGTCACAGGTCCCCTCTGGTACTGAGGCCACAGCCATTGTCACAGGACTTTCAGCTTTGGGCTCTGAGGGGTCATGCCTGCTGCCCCAAGGTTGCCAGGGACAGGGGCCCCTGGGTGGCTAAGTCAGTTAAGTCCATGACTCTTGATTTGAGTTCAGGTCATGATCTTAGGATCTTGGGGTCAAGGCCCACATTGGGCTCCGCGCTCAGTAGGGAGTCTGCTAGAGATTCTCTCTGCCTCTCCTCTCTCTCTTTAGAAAAAATAAAATAAAAATAAATAAATCTTAAAAAAAAAAAAAAAGGTGCCAGGACAGGAGCCTGCTTCCTGGGTCCCAGGGTCCAAAGACTCTTCCCTTTCCCTGCCTTAGGGACCTCCCTGCTGCACCTGACTTCCCTGAAAGCCAGGGTGCCCTGGAAAGGCACTGTCCCATGAGCTCAGGCTTTTTCAAAAAACAAGCAAAGAACAACAACACAAAACAGGAAGAAACTTTGTCTTCCACCAGCTGTCCTATCCATATCTCCAAGGCCCTAAAATGGTGAGTAGCTGGCTGGCTACCTGCTCAGAACGGGCTCACAGAAAGCATCCCTATGCCTAAAATGTATGAGCCACATGCATACGATAAAAGCAACATAACAACTACTGCTCTGTCAAAAGCCAGTTGTGAGTCCTTGTGCAAGTGATTTAATCTCTCTACTATATAAATTCTTGTTTCCACGTCTGATAAACTCAAACTCAATGTGGAATAAATAGCACTGCTATTCTGGCCTCAGAAATACAAGATGATTTCTCTTGTTGAGATGTCAATCAAGATGACTCTTATCTGGTTGGAGAACTTTAGGGTCCAACAGAGATGGTGACCCAGAAATCAATGTAGAGGATGAGCCCATTTATGCCCACAGAGAGGGGAGGGAATCTGAGAGTCACAGCCTCTAGACCCTGGGTCCACCTGCTTCCCAGGCACCTCTCCTGGATGTCCCATGGGTATCTAAAGGCAACACATCCCTATCTTTGCCCTCTCTGTCTTTGCCACAAACCTGTTCCTCTACTCAAGCCCTCCAAAGGGCACCACTAACTACCCAGTCTCCTCCTGGTCCTTGCCCACCTAACCCAGATAGTCCCCAAGACCAGGCAGTCCTCCTTCTGAAGCATGCACAGTGTCCATTCCTCCCACTCTACTCCAGTCCAGACCACCACCATCTTCCTTGCTGATTCTGCCCCAGCCTCCTATCTAATATCTGCCTGCCTACTTCCAGGCCATTCTTCTCCCAGCTACCGGGTTTATCATTCTTTCTCCTAATTTTTTTTTAAAGATTTTACTTTTAAGTAATCTCTACACCGCACATGGGGCTCAAACTTGCAACCCCAAGATCAAGAGTCACATGCTCTACTGACCGAACCAGCCAGGTGCCCCCTTTCTCTTTGTTAAAGGGGGTTGTAGTCTGAATAATGGCCTCCCAAAGATGTCTACACCCTAATCTCTGAAACCTATGGATATGTCGCTTTACAAGGCAAAAATGACTTTGATTAAATTAAGGAGCTTGAAATGGGCAAGATTATCCTGGATTTTCCAGGTGGCCTCACTGTAGTCACAGGGCCCTTATAAGAGGGAGGCCCGAGGGTCAGAATGGGAGAAGGTGATGTGATAATGAAAGCAAAAGGTCAAGAGATACAACTCTGCGCTACCGACTTTGAAGGTGGAGGAAGAAGCCAGGAGCTGAGGAATGCTGACGGCCTCTAGAAGCTGGAAAAGGCAAGGAAACAGACTGTCCCCAAGAGCCTCCAGAAGGAACCAGCCTGCTGACACCTTGACGTTAGCCCAGTAAGACCCACTTCAAACTTCTGATGTCCAGAACTATAAGGTAAAAAATGTGTATTATTTTTAAATGTGTGCTGTGGCAATAGGTTATTGCAGCAATAGGAAATTAATATAGTGGGTTTCAAATAGGGCTAAATACACATCCATATAATGAATTAAAACTGGTCTCGTTTGAAACAAAAATCCACGTGGTAGCTCAGGTTCCCTCCATGTCTGTCTGAGTGATTCCAAGCCAAGTTCTCTGAGAAAAGGACTCCCTCTGGCCAAATTTGCTTTTTATTTCATTTATTTATTTATTTTTATTAAGCTCTACACCCAACATGGGGCTCGAACTCATGACCTCAAGATCCAGGGTCCGTGTCTACTGACTGAGCCAGTCAGGCGCCCCTGGTCAAACTTGCTTTTTACAAGCACAGGCAGTTTGATCATATTCTTCTGGAGTCTGTCAACATAGTGTGGTCCCCAGTCCAGAACCTGACACCACCCAGGGCACCACCTACTAAAGAAGGCAACACGTTGCCTGCTCCCAGGGCAGACAAATGGCAGAGAAACCTTCTCAATATGAAAATACCACTGGCTCAGTCTTCTGTGTAAGATACTTCCAGGGCTCCCTTTTGCATTTAGGATGAATTGAAACACCAAAGCATGGCTCCCAGGGCTTGCTCAACAAGTTCCTATCCACCTCCCTGTCCCTGTCCTCTCTGAGGATTATGCAGCTCCCGGAATGCACAGCATCTGCTGCCACCCCCAGGCCTTTTCCCACAGGGTTCCCTTTACTTGGAGTGTTGCTTTAGCTCCTCCTGCCACCTGTGGCCAACTTCTGTGAAAATGTGAGGCCCATTTTTCTGGGACAGAAGTCAGCCCCTCGGGCAGGACTTGTTCCTGTCCACGGCAGCTGCCCCTGACCCACAAGATAGGTCTGGGAGGGAGAGCCAGGGTGGGAGAGCCCAGGCTAGGGGGAGAAAAGGCCCAACTGTGGTTTTAAGGGCTTGCACACGCGTGTGTGAAGATTCTGAGCTAGCTTTCATGACTCCTAGAACCTCCGGGGCGGGCAGGAGCAGCTCACTGTGCCCGGTACAAACCAGCCCATCCTTAGTTAGAGCCATTGAGTGCCTGGGCCCCCTGAGACTTGTCACTCATCCCAGGGCAGGTCAGTAGTTTACCAGTTTCAATCCCAGCCCCGCCATCCCCAGCTGGGCAAACTCCTTAACCTCTGTGAATCTCAATTTGCTCTTTTTGTGAAACGAAGGTAATGAGAGCTACTGCACAAGGGTGAGGAGGACTGGAAATGTGCTCATACTTACAAAGCACACAGAGTGTTCAGCTGATAGTAGACATCAATAGGAATCCTCTAGACCTTGCTTGTCTTTCCGTCAGGAAGATGATGCTATCCATTTCATCAACTAATGAAATTAAATTTTAATTGTCAAATCAGCCTGGGTGGGATGTGGTCAGCCACAGCTCTTGTTCTCTGGGTCCACTTTGTCTGGGTCACAGTACCCTTTCCAATGAACCCTGGATGAATCGGCCCATCCACTTGGCTCATCCCCATGGCCACCAGCATTTCTTGCCCCAGCAGGCTCAGTAGCCTCCTGACTGGTCTTTCTGCTTTCACTGTGGGCTCCCCATCCCCATCAGTCCATTATCCTCACAGCTTGCGGCTGTCAAAAAAAAAAAAAAAATTTTTTTTTGTTTTTTTAAAGCCAACGTGATCATTTTACTTCCTGCCTACCACCATCAAGACTCTCCCTGCTCCCTAGGGAGCAGTACTTCAATGAAATTAGAATCAAAACCTCCTCCTCACAGTGGCCTCCAAGACCTCCCATGCCCCCTGGCTCCGGTTAATTCCTGCAGCCTCACAGCCTCCATTTCCTCGAAGGACCAGGCTCGCAGTCCTACTGGGGCCTTTTGCACTGATGCTGTTGCAACCTGGAGCATCACTTCCTCTGGGCAAGCTTTCCCTGACCCTCAGAATAGAAGACGCCATTACTCCCATAGCGCCATGGGACTCCGGGTTCTGCTGTCAGTGGCTCTTGATTGTGTAGTGATCTGATTAGGGGCTGTCCCTCCAGCCAGCAGGAGAGACCACACGGGGAGGAATGATGCTTATCTAGGGGAGGAATGATGCTTATCTAGCTCCCTAGTACAGAGCCTGCAACACAGCAAGCACTCAATAAATGTTTGCTGAAGAAAGGAAGGGAGGGAGGGAAGAAAGATGGAAGGAATAAATGAAAAGATAGTGCTTCTTACAGGAATTCTTTGGCGAAGCCTTTTGTAAAGTAAATGATACTTGGTGAATTATTTTTGGTGTGAAAATTGACTTTCCTATGTTATCGCCCCTTCAACACAGTAAATCTGTTTTTTTCCATATGCCTCGTAAAGATTCTCAGGACGTTTTCCTCCCATTAATTTTTCCTTGTTAAATGGTTTTTATGACCACTTTGTGCTTTAAGAAAGAAGTACTGCTCGGTATTTAGAATATTCTCTCAGCTTCCTTGGTGAGAAGATTTTGGCAGCTTTCCCACTGTTGACTATAACCAGTACAGCTTGGAACACGATGTCACCCCTCCAGAACTCTCTCGG